TGGCCGGGGGGGGTGAAGGCGGAGGGGAGGGCGGAGGGGAGATGGGGGATGGGAGAGAGGATCGGTCAAAACTAGACCCTGATAATACGCACTTCTTCTTATGCCGCAAGCAGTGAGATGAAGGATCTTGTTTGAACTCTTCGCATGCCTTAACAAGGACCTCGACGAGCTGTGTAGCGGGTGTTGCAGGGATCGCTTTCTTCTTCAGGTTGAACTCCACGTTGACAGGCATGTCCTCCTGCGTTCAGTCAGACAGTCCAGCATGTCACCCCTGCTAGTTCAAGGGGCGTGATCCCATTCATCTTCCCGTATCTCTGAAGCGATCTCTTCCTACATTCTTCTTGGCGTGCTTCTTCAGCACACTTCCTATCTCTTCACTGGGACTGACTGATCTTTCTTGTCACATGTCTTCATCTCGCTCCTCACCCTCCTCTCCTGCGTTCACCACTACTATCCTCTTCACTCCTCCTCTCTCCTCCAGCCTCTTCCTGCGCTGCCTCTCTTCCTTGCTTGCTTCTCTTCTGTGCCCCCAGTTTCTCTCTCAGCATGCCACAGGCTGTCCAAATCATCTGTGTTCGCCTCAAGAAGTTTCTCATAGCAAATACAAGGGCAGCAAACATGATTTAGAACATTCGTACAAGGTGGAAGAAGACAGCAGCGAAGCGACCCTTGTTCCGAGTCCCCTTTTTCATTCCCCCCATTCCTCCTCCCCTCTCTTCCCCTCCTCAGCCCTCGCTCTCCCTGCTCTCCTTGCTCTCCTCGCTCTCCTCGCTCTCCTCGCTCTTCTCGCTCTCCTCGCTCTTCTCGCTCTCTTCGCTCTCCTCGCTCTCCTCGCTCTCCTCGCTCTGCTCGCTCTCCTCGCTCTCCTCGCTCTCCTCGCTCTCCTCGCTCTCCTCGCTCTCCTCGCTCTCCTCGCTCTCCTCTCTCTCTCCTCGCTCTCCTCGCTCTCCTCGCTCTCCTCGCTCTCCTCGCTCTCCTCGCTCTCCTCGCTCTCCTCGCTCTTCTCGCTCTCCTCGCTCTCCTCGCTCTCCTCGCTCTCCTCGCTCTCCTCGCTCTCCTCGCTCTCCTCGCTCTCCTCTCTCTCTTCTCTCTCTCCTCGCTCTCCTCGCTCTCCTCGCTCCTCTTCTTCTGGCTCATCCTCGCTCCTCGCCCTTCTCCTCTCGTCTCTCGTCTCAACTGGTCTGTTCTTCCTCCTCGTCTCCTCTTCCTCCTGTGTCGAATACATGATCGCATTCTAGGTTCCACGAAAGGATGTCGTACGAGGACATTGAATTCCCTCCTGCTCAACGTTCGATAGGCCCAGAGGGCTTCTGCGAGAAAGAGGTCGCCTGGTCAAGGCCACCAGCAGCATGCTCACTATTCGGAGCGAAAATATCCCCGGACGACGTGCTGGAGGGCGAGCTTGACGACTGTTACCTGGTAACGACCATCCCTTGGTGTACGCAATCCTCAAGGTCAAGCAGGTCAGCGCACTGACTCTCCTCGCAACTCGTCCGCCCCTGGTCCATCGGCTTGTTCGGAAGGAGGGGGATCAGCCTGGGAAGTATCACGTGAGGATCTGGCAGCAAGGGGTCAGCGTCGAGGTCACCGTGGACGATCGAGTCCCCTGCATCAAGTCGTCTCGACGTCCCATCTTCTCGCACTGCAGGAGTGAAGGTCCTGCGATTTGCTTTGGCCCTGCCTCTTCCTCACACGATCCTTTGCGCTCACCCTCCAGACGCCTGCTGGGTGCAGATCGTGGAAAAGGCGTTTGCGAAGACCTTTGGAAGCTACAGCGCACTAGGAGGGGGGAACACGGCCGAGGCTCTGCATGACCTTACGGGAAGGTAGGAGCAAGCGCCAGATGAGGAGGAAGGTTGACGGTACATGGCAGGCCTGTGTTCGATTACAACATGGACGCTCCTGATGTTAAGGTGAAGGGATGGAGGAGAGAGGGGGGGGATGAGACTGTGCGCGAACAGGAGGACATTACGAGCGGCTCGCTATGGGCTCAACTGATAGAGCACTTGGAGGAGAGGGGGCTAGTGGCTTGCGCGTACTTCAAGAAGGGCAGGCGTCAACCGCCGGAGGAGCGGCATGGCCTCATACAGAACCATGCATACTGGTTGTGATGCCCCTGCATGTTGTCGTGTGATGCTGACACGTGCTGGAAGTGTGCTGGGCGCCAGGGAGTTTCAGGTTGAGACAAACTTGACTACTCGTTCCCTCGTTGAGACTCCAGCAAGACGACCAAAGGAACATCGCTGAAGGCGGTGGAGCTGCGAAATCCTTGGGGGGGCGAGAAGAACTGGGACGGAAATTTGTCGCCCGGCTCCGGCATGTGGAGACAGGAAGCCGAGAAACATTGCCGGGCTGAAGCAAACTGACACGCTCCTTGTTGACTTGCAGATCAAACAAACAGGGTCGGTGGAACTCGGGGCGAACAAGGGAGATGGTTGTTTCTGGATGCCATGGTTAGTGATGGTGAGTCTTACGTGGAATCTGCCTCAAAGTTCCACCAGGGAAGAGTTCATCAAATTCTTCAATCGACTGCATGTTTGTTGGGTGGGGGAAGGTGACGAAGAAGCGGTCGGAACACCAATCTTTGCAGAGCACATGCACGTCCCCGCTGAGAGATCAGGTGCTTGAGGCCACAGCAGCTTGTGAAGCAGCTGAGCTGAAGATGCAGGTGGATGTACCAAGTACCCAACCTTCCGGCACAACGATGCTTTCTGCCTCACCCGGGAGGCAGTCGGAGGAGGGGCCAAGAGTGCTCGCATCGCCATCACCATCGCACAGAAGGACAGAAGGAAGGAGCACAAGTCCAACGCCTGCGGTCAAGCTCTCTCCTACGCGCAGGTCCGTGTGACGAGGCAGCACCACTGCACGTTGACGCGAATGATCAAGATCGGGATGACGATAGTGATCCCTCAAACTCCCAAGACTGGGGAGAGCCCGTTAGTTCTCCTGCCGAGCATGCACTCGGTGGATGGAAGGAGGTGAGAAGGGATGGCGTGCGGTTGCTGCTTTCTCACAGCTGATCCTCAGCCGCTTCTGGAACAAACGAGAAGTTTCAAGAATGATCAATATGGTCGTCACGATCTCTCAAGTCAAGACAAGGGCGCTGAGTGGAGTCGTGAGCAGGTGCCAGGGCAGGAACTTGTCATAGTGCCGTCGACTTGGAAGAGTGGAGAGGGTTGGGAGTACTCTCTTCTCGTTCATGTGGAAGGAGGAGCAGGAGGAGAAGGGGCAAGTTCAAGTTCAGAATTCAAGTTGATACCACAAAGGTCGAGGTCGTCGCTCCAATCTTCGTCGAAGCAGGTCAGCAGACGCTCTCTACCTCCTCCTCTTCTCCTCGTGGCCATGGACCCTTCTCCGCTCTCCTGCTGACCGCCCCTTGTGTTGGCAGGGAACATGGAAGGCGAACGCAGGCGGAGGGGTGGCGTCGACTTCTTTCACCAAGAACCCGCAGTTCTTGGTGACCTTTTCACCCCCCGCAAGCTCCAGCGCCGGTGCGAATCATCAGAGATGCTTCGCCGTCCTCACCCAGCACGTGAATGACGGGTGAGGATGCATGACCCCTAGGAGCTCCACTCTCAGACAGTTGACGGCCCTTGGTGGGTACCAGGGAGAAGCCGCAGCCAGTTGCCATCTATGCCTTGAACACCCGGGGCCGGAGGATCGAGGGAAGCGTTCCTTCCAAGTCCATCTTCCAGCGGTCTGCGACCTTCACCAACTTGCAGGAAGCGTCGAGAGCTCTCCTGCGCTCATCCTCCTGACACCTGCCGCAGGTCATCTCCAGGCTCATCCAACCCCCCGACGACGGGACCCCTCTGCTCATCGTCCCGTGCATGATGAAGCCTGCCGCCAAGGACACCTCCTTCGTGCTCGAGGTGGTTGCAGAGGAAGGGTCAGTTCAGCTCGAGGCTGTCAACAAAGACACGCCCGTCCTCCGGGAAGAGCCCAAGGTCGCTGTGTGCCTGGATTACAGCCCTTTCACATCGCACAATGCAGCCTGCTCCCACGAAGACCAGCAAGGAGACATCACGAGGAACTTCATCGAGCGTGAAGTATAGGTACGCGTGTACGTGCGATGCCTCCCTGCAGCTCACTCGAACCTCCCTCAGCAAGCAACCTGCCCATAAAGAGATTCCGATGAGGAGCTTTCACGCGGCGAGGTACCAAGACGCCAATGTAGTGACAGTGAGTGACCATCGTTTGTCAACCCGCAGCAAGAAGATGGAGAGCATGGCCCAGGCATTCAAGGACTTGTGATTGAAAGTGACGATCCGAATGGAACTGCGAGTCGCCATGGTTGCTGCATCGCAATCCAAAACAACCCTCTCGTGTCTTCGACTCTCCCTCTTTCAATTAGTCCCCGCTCATGCCATTTACATCGTGTTTCGGCTGTCATGCTGCTTCAATCGGCATCGTTCTCCTGCACTGAATCGGTTCGTCGCGCTCTTCCTAGTTTTCGTTCAGCCTTGCCCATTGAGAGTTTGCTGTTGGTCTTGAACTTCGCTACCCCCTTTTCCTGTATTAGATTAGGGGGTGGGGTCATGGGGGTTCCATTGTATCCACCTTGCCAAGTCCCCGATTTGAACTACCCCTGTCCAACAGAGGGGGAAATGGGGGTGAATGTAACCACCCCACCCCTTGAATTACCCACATATACCCACCTTTGATCCTTCAAACTGACTACCCTGAAGGCACCCCACTTCCCTTGCATAGCAGCTACCCCTCTGGGAATTTAAGTACCCCATAGCTGTCCCCGGGTAAAAAGGAGGGGTGGTGAGCACTACCCATACCCGACGGGGAATATCGTGTACTCTACTCGTCCATAGGGGGTCATAGATACAGGGTGGGTGATCAAAATCTGACCCGATGGGTGGGGTCCAAAGGTGAACATACATATCAAAATGTGGGGTACTATTCCATCATCAGAGGGGTGTAGTGAATCAAGTAGGGGTCCATGTTTTGACTGAGTAGGGTAGGGGTAAAAGAACAGGCAGCGCGACGGCCGGATAAGTAGGGGGTGGGGTGGTAGGGGAAGTGGTTTCATGTAGGCGGGGAGCAGATGGCGGGAGAGGGGGGGAGGGAGAGGAAGGGAGGGAGAGAGCGAGGATCATGTGTATTGAGCATGCGTACGAGTACGAGGAGATGTCACTACTGTAAGGGTGTGAAGAGCGGGTTGATCACGCAACCAGAACTCTCGCGCACTGTACTAGAACGTGCAAGATTTCGAGACGTCGGATCTTTCAAGTTTAGGGTGTGTTTGCCTGTCCATGTAGCTGGCCGTCATACGTTCTACCCAGAATTTAGTTTTGCTTGCAATGAGCCAGAAAGTCCGACTTTTGCTGTGATCTTCTATCACCCCTGTGCTCAACAGATTCGTGTTTCAGGGGGAAACCCATGGCGACAGCACCGGTATTCTTGCTGCCACTCGGCGATTCCTTTAGGAGCTTCGAGGAAGGTTTCAGGGGACAGGTATTTCTGCGTGCTATCGCGCTCCTCGATACTGAGAGTTTCTAGAAATGGATCGACTTCACAAGGGACCATGCCGAGATCCCCGTTTTTGCAGTCTGCGCATATTTCGCTCTTGTCTTCTACGTATGATCCTTCCCCCCCCCCTTCCCCCCCCCACCACCACCACCACCCCGTGGCCAGTCCTCCCATCATGACGCATGTCCATGTGTAGGTTCCGGGGTTGCTGAAAGATCGCTCGGCGTTCCAGGTAAGAGCTCGGCGTCCTCCCTCCCTCCCTCCCTCCCTCTAATGAGGATTCCAGCTCCGCCAGCTCTTTGCAGCATGGAATCTTCTGCTCTCCGTGTTCAGTCTGATGGGATCTGTCCGAACAGTCCCCCACCTCATCTACTACTTGAGAAGGTAAGCTTGACGACGAGCAGAGCAGGGGAGCAGGCTCAGAACCGATGACCGCGGTGCTACAGGGACGGGTTCAAGGCTACGGTGTGCAGGGACCCACAAGAATGGTATCTCGATGGGCCGGCTGGCCTGTGGGTGGGGTTGTTCATCTTTTCTAAGGTGATGTCCACTCTGCTATGACTGCCAGATGACAGGGCTGGTTGACAGATCCCAGAACTGTTGGATACTGCATTTCTGGTGCTTCAGAAGAAGAGGGTAGAGGAGCAAGCGTGACTTTGACTGTCGCTGATGAGGTCTTGCAGGTCATTTTTCTCCATTGGTTCCATCACGTAACTGTCATGCTCTACTGCTGGCACGCTTTCCACAACAAGGTTGCTCCCGGTGTGTTGAGTTGAGTTCCCACGGCGTGTCGGCTGACGCTGCGGTTGAAGGGCTCTGGTTTGCAAGCATGAACTACCTGGTACACTCAGTGATGTACACGTACTACTTCGCCATGGCAGCCAGGCTAAGGTGCGGCCTCCTTGTGCTCTGACCCCTCCCCTGACACGTTGACACGTTGTCAGTTGGTTGGCGACTCCGTTTGCGCCCATGATCACGTCAATCCAGATCACGCAGATGGCCGTGGGAAGCTACGTTACCCTCACATCGGCCATGGAGCACTTACAGGGGGGGGCTGCAGCCTGCTACGTAGACGCTGCAAACTACAAGCTCGGCTTCGCCATGTACGCGTCTTATTTCGTGCTCTTCTCGTTCCTGTTCTACGAGAAGTACTTCGACCGCAACTCTAGGAGCAGTCAGCAGAAGAGCGAGAAGATCTGTGGGGTGGACATTGGGTCCAGAGGAGCTGTGGACACAGCGGGAAGGTTCGAAGACTTCTCGAGGGGAAGTGCATCGCCTAGCACGAGTGGGAATGCGAGTCCGTTGTGGACTGCTTCGAGTATTGCTCAGGTGGTCGACGGGAAGAAGAAAACAAAATAGGGTTGTCAAGATAGTCAGGGGCTGGAAGCTTTGAGTTCATTCCCAACAGATACAAAAATCGTGAGACAACACATTGAAATCTCACACAAGATTAACACAAAGGTTTAAATTGAAAGAAGAAACTACGGGTGATATACAGAGATTTGAGGCTTGTACCTGCCATCATTGCTCAAGTGCCATGTTCTGTGGCTGAGTTGCGGGAGCCCTGCCAAGCTTGGGGCCATTGTCAACTCCCAGGCCCACAGCAGCCTCAGCATCGCGCTGGCAGTGCGGCTTAGCTCCCTTGAGCTCCTTCACTCTCATCTTGTAAAATCGCGACTTCTTGTGCTGGTCGAGCGCCTGCTTGTTGATGAACCACCTTCCTGTCTCGACGCCTGCGCGTCATCTGAGTGCAAGGAGACAATCCTCAACAGGCTCACAGTAGTATTGACCCATCCCAGGAAGGTCTTCGTCGAGCGGCTGCTTGGCCGTGCGGGGAAGAGCCTGCGGGGAAGTCAAGGAGGGGCAGCAATCATGAGCTCGGGACTTGCCGCATCAGCCCGGATGCCGTTGGCCTCCTCCTTCTCGGGGTCAGCACGAACATCCTTCCACACCTGGACGCGACTCATCTCAGCAGAGTCCCGAGGAGGGGATGGGACTCGACCTGGTCGACGTGCCTGTTCAGAAACCTTGCGAGCGCCGCGCGTTTCTTTGGGGCCTTCATGTTGTGCCCCTTCTTGGCTTTGTGACGCTGAGCAGACCCCATCTACGACACGTGAAGGTGAACGACGCGAAGCAAACATTGACAAAATGCGGGATGTTCCGTGGACAAGAAATAATCATGAGAGCTCCCTAGTTGTCTGTTCTACTTATTGGACATCTCAGGTCGAAGTGCAGGAAACAGAAACAACGTTGTGAAAGTATGAAACTACAGGCAACTTCGCATGCCTTCGCTTTCTGCCAATCTCTAATTCTATCAGCGACTAATTGCATGAAGCTCATAGAAAAATTCATAGAAAACCTTGAAACCTGCAGCTCCACATATCTGGCGCTTCGTCTAGGAATATCGTTCTCTTCCAAGATCGTTATACTTCTATATCCATACTGAAAAATACTAATGTTGCTTCCTGTACTTTTGCTGAAAAATGTCTCATTGCAACTAAGCATCTCCTTGTCTTGGTCTTCCATCTTCTCTATCACTCCTTGCTATACAACAACAGTGCAAAGTGTTCCCTCGCTTGACATCTGTTCACTGCACCTTGTCCGTTAACCTCACCAACTCCTTCAACTGCACCTCCTTCGCCTTCTTGTCTTTACTCGCTTGTCTCTGCCCTTTCTCCTGCTCTCTCGCTCCAGCTTCTATCCTGTCTTCACCTCTCCTCTCATCTCCTCCCCTCCCTCCCCTCCCCTCCCCTTCCCTCCTTCTATCTGCTCTTTCGCCTCTTCATTGCCGCATAGGCACGTGCATACTTGATAAATGAAGTTTCAAGGTCCTGTGGCAGGGCAGTAATTAGTTACTGGCCCGGCCCGGCGGGCCGGGACCCGGGCTGCCGGCCGGCCGATATGATCCGATGATCACTGACACTGATGTGAAAGTTTAGACAGCCGCGCCTCCTCTGCCGCTGCCTCAGGAGTCCCACCGGTGGGTGGGACTGAGCATGACAACGGGGAACGGGCCCGCCGGCCCCCAGCCGTCCGAGCGGACTACTATGATCTGAGACAGGCTCGGGAGACACAGGAATTGGGTCATTCAATCCAGGATGAGACAGGATTTCAGCTTTTCCAGTCATTTTCTTTGCTCAAGTTATCCCAAAGTCGTCGCATCATGCGCATCATTGCAGAAACAAACTTACACAGACAAGTCATCACAACACAACAACCATAACAACAAAATCAAAAGCAATGACTACTCGTGCAGCAGATTCTTGATGGCAATGAAATCTTCACTCATCTTCATCATTCATGGCCTTGTCCTGTCACATTCTCAGAACCTCTTCACACCCTTCACCGCCTTCCGTCGCAATCTCCACTGCCCACTCCCCCATCCATCATCTTACCTCGTTGGGGTCGGCGACGTCAGCTGAAATGTCCTTCTCTCCGGAGATCTCTGCATCCTTCCTCTCAGCTTGCAGCTTCGCGTCGAGGACCGTAGTGTATATTCTGCGAGCCTGCTGGGTCCTAGGGTGCATCTCTCCCTGCAGCTCCTCTCGGATCTTCAGCTCCTTCCTGTACCACTCCATCCCTGCCTGAGGACCCTGGAGCTTGTGGAGGAGAGTTCCGATCATAGTGATCGCCTTCACTGTCTCCAGATGTTTCTCCCCGTAGACTCCAGTCCACAGCTGGTTGGCGTGCTGGAACAGCCGGAGGGCCTGCAGGAACTTCCGCTCGATCAGCGCTTCCTTCTCCATCTTGGTGCTTCGGAGGAACCCTGCTTGGACTGCCTCGGCCTTGCAGAAACTGAGTACGCCCTGGGCAAAGATGACCTCGGCTCTGAGCTGATCTTCTGCGTTGGCTCGCAGCTTCTGGCACTCCGACAGAGCATTGTTTGCGTGCTCGTACGCCTCTTGTGCGGTCCATTTCTCACACCCACCGAGGCGGCAAAGAGTAGCCAAGTTCAAACCCAGCCAGTAGAGGCTCTGGCCATACATGTGCTCGTACTTCTCCCGATTCTCACCCTCGGCTTCCTTCAGGCTCTGGAAGACTTCCACTGCATCCACTGCGTACTCTGCCGCTCGGATCATAATGTCCTTGGTGTATTCAGGAGAAGCGGCGGCCCACTTGTTCAACAGCTCCGCACAATACAAGGAAACCTGTATGCCAAAGCCATCAAACGGTAATTTCAGAATTGATCAGGTACTACCTCTCCAGATCTCCGGTACTCCTCGCCCGTCTTATTCTTCGAGAAACCACCAGTTGAGGTTTCCTCAACTTCCATCTTAAGATCTTGGGCCTCGATCATCTCCGAATTCTTTCTCTGCGATTCTCTCAGCATAACCTGCGCCCAACGTAAGTTCTTTCTCGCCACGTCACGCTTTCTTCAACCTCGGCATTCTCAAATTCTCCAGCATCGGTCAAGAATTTCGCGACAACCACAGTAGAGTCTTCTCCCTTGGCAGCCTGTTCCGAAAATAAGCTTGCAAGCGTTAGACGCACTATCCGCCCGCACCTGGCTTGCTTTCATTGCCTCTGAGATAGCTGTTGAATCTAGCGCTCTGTTCCTCAACTTGTCATCAATCATGTTGGTATAGTTCCTTCGCGCTTGTTGTGTTCTTGGATGCAACTCTCCCTGCAATTCTTCCCTGATTCGTAGCTCACGTCTGGACCACTCGATACCCGCTTCCTTGCCATTGATCCGACTCTGCAATTGTCCAATCATGGTAATAGCCTTGACTGTCTGCAAATGCTTTTCTCCGTACGCCTCGCACCATTGGCCATATGCATGTTCAAAATCTTTCAAGGACGTTGCAAGCAGCTCATTTACAGCCTGAAAAGAAAACAAAGAGAAGAGACCATCGATCAGCAGCTGTGAGTGGTAAGCGCCAACTCTTACCTCATCAACAGGTGGCGAACCCTCTGGAAGTACAATGTGGCCAGCCTTAAGAGCCTCAGCTTGGCAGAAACACAACACGCCGTCCACGAACGCTAACTCAGCGATACGATGAGGAGGAGTGCAAGGAGTGACCATCGAGTGTGCAACGCTCAAGGCCTCAGCCGCTATCGCCGAAGCCTCAGAAGCCGTCCACTTCTCACCTCCTCCCAGTCTGCACAGTGTCGCATAGTTCAAAACTACCCAGTATAGTGCAGATGCAAAGCTTTCGATCGTTGCCAAATCTTGCGGTTGGATGGAAGCGAACACCTCTGCCGCTTCTTTGGCATACTCGGCAGCACGGACCATGAGGTCGGTGCTGTATTCTGGAGAGGCAGCTGCCCACTTGTTCAACAGCTCCGCACAGTGCAAGCTCATGTCGCCCCACTGTTGTCCACGCATCGCTGGTTCAAGATGAATGGGGCCAGATTCGTCGATGAAGCTCTTGGTCAACTTGATCAGCTCTTCCGCGTCCTCGAACTGTCCTGCATCGCCCAAAAACCTTGCAACTAGCATGCAAGATCGAGAAGGATCAAGACCCATCAGCTCACTGCACTGCGTTGCCATGGCAACTCCTCCTTCAATCGACGAAGAGTCAGGGTTCTGAACCAAAATCACTTTTTTGCTTCCTCCTGGGGCACGCATCTTTTCTTCCGCCCACTCCGCAAGCACCTGGAACAAGTGGAATCAAATTCCTAGTTAACCTTGTCAATCCAATCTCGTTTACCTCGGCCAGAGCAGCTGGTGCAGTATTAGTGTTTCTCTCTGCCAGTCTCCATTCAATAGCTGTGGCAGTATTGCATCGGTATGCTTGATTTGTTCCACTGTCTTCAACAACATTTCCTCTGAAGTGCCCTCCAGCATTTTCATCCAACCAAATACCACCATGAGCTCCCTGAAAACAATTTGTCAACCACTCAAACTCACGAATCGTTGACTCTGACCTGCAACACAACATTGCACTCTAGAGTGGGTCGTGCTCTCCCATGAACCTGTGATGTAAAGGTTCAGTGTATTGGATTCAGAATCGATTTAACTCACCGCTACGCCTTCATTCTGATTGGCACAAACGATGTTGTGGGTAAACTTTCCAGTAGCCTCATCCTCAAACAGAATGCCAGCAGCTTTGCCATCACAGATACAGTTTGCGATGAGTTCCGGGCTAGACTGTCGCCCAACATACACTCCTGCAAGCTCACTGTTGCGAATCATGTTGAACCTGTAAGTTCCCTTAGCTCTATCCATAATAACCAGTCCACGGCCAGCACCATTCGTGAGAACGTTTCCATCACAAATCGGGTCACTGTTATCCAAGACAGCGATGTTCGCACCATCATTGTGACAGATAGTATTTCCTCTTACAGTTACAGTTGTCGTCCCACGAATGATGATACCACCTAGCGGTCCATGTGAAATGATGTTTGCTACGAGTTCAGAAGCTGCTTGTTCCAACAGGACAACGTTTCCATGAGCATTGTGCGACAAAGTATTTTGGCGAAATCGCCCCGTAGCGTTGTGCCTGATTAGCAACCCAGCATGCTTCCCATCGCGAATGATATTCATCGCGAGGGTAGGATTGGCATTGTCAGTTACAACGACACCTGCGCGCATGTTACGCTCAATGACATTATTCTGCAATGTGCTGACTGCTCTTTCTTGAACCCATACACCATATCCAGTTCCGTCTGAAACGTAATTTCCATCAAAGAGAGCATTGCTATTGCCTTTTAAGCCAATGCCGGCATGTGTATTTCCAATCACTTGGTTCTTTTCGAAAATTCCTCTGCAGTTCTCATGCAAAACAATTCCACCTCCCCTGCCGTCCTTGACAATGTTGCTATGGAACAGGGGGCAGGCAAAATCAGTACCACCAACGCCAGCCATTGTGTTGCGCATTATTTCATTGTTTAAGAATTGTCCAGTTGCATGATCGTGCACCACAATCCCACCTTTCAGTCCATCTCTGACGATGTTTCGAACAACCAACGGGTCAGCATGACCACCAACTTGGATTCCACTTTTCTGATTCTGATATATATCGTTTGCAATAAGCTGACACTTAGCCTCCTCTTCGAGCCAGAAGCCGCCTTGCTTCCCATTGTAGACTTTGTTTTCCTCGAAAACGCCAACGCATGAGCCACGAGCAGCAACACCAGCATTGCTGTTTGCAAAAACTTCATTTTTCAAGTATTTCCCTCCGCTGAGTCCTGTGCAAAATATTCCAAAACCATCATTGTCATGGATCGAACATCCTTCCACTGTAGGCGTCGCACTGTCTGCCACTTTGATTCCATCACCACAACATTGTAGAATTTCACAGTTGATCAGACTTGGAGCTCCTGTTCCACACACCAACACGCCGACGCTAACAGATCCTGTAATCACACAGCTGTCAATCGTCAAGTTCCCAGATTCCACCACAACACAGGCCATGCTTCCGAAAGGACCTCTGTGATCAATTTTGAGGTTGCACAAGTAAGCATCATTGAGATCTGAGAAGATAACAGGGTGGTCCGCTCGAGCCGCAACAATCACAGGATTCTCCGATGACGGCGTGCAACCTGGAGCAGCCACAATTTGAACACCCTCCTCCAATTCGAGCGCCTCTTCGTCGTATGTTCCACCATCTACCACAATTCGAGTCTTTTCTTTCTTTTCTCGGATGGATGCCAATGCAGCAGAAATGCTTGAGAAATCAGCATTTGTTTCAGGCTTGTTCGACACAGTAACTGTCTTTACGTCTTGTTCCATATTGACGGGGGACGTTGCTGTGCCTAGCGCAGTATCTGACATAGGTTGATCCTCCATTCCACGTGGATCAAACGATCAAAAGCTCATCGCAGACCTGCGACCTGCCCGAAGAAATGCACTCTGCAAGCCCTGGGCCTGCACACTCGTGTCAGAGCAAGGCATGGTAGTGAAAACCCATATCTCCGACTTGATTTGGTGTGTGATGATTTCACCAGAATCTCAATGACAGAGGAAACGAGGGATTATATAAGTTTGATTCTGACCCTTGGCACCAGAAAAATGGATCGCATGAAACAGTTCAGGATAAAAGACCAACAAAGTCGCTCACAAACGAGTTTTATCAGACACCAGGCAAGGGGTGGGGCAGGACAGGAACGAAGAGGCAAGCATCCGTAGGGGATGAGATGCATTACTTCGATTGCGAATGAGGCTTTGGTCGCTTTAGATCGAGAAAATGGAGGCAGGATCAAAGAAAGGTAGGGAGATACGCGGGGGGTGGGGAGGGGGGCGGAAGACCAATGCAGTATACAGAGAGCCTTTGATAGAGGTGCGGTGAAAACATGAAACGAAACACGAGAGCCTGACGAAAGGGGACACATGGTAGAGGAGTGGGTCGCGAAATAGCAGGATGCAGTGAGATCATAGAAAGAGGAGGGGAGATAGAGATGATGGGTGAGAGAGATGCAGGCTATACGCCATGAGAAATGAGGAGCAATTTTTTGTCCCATGGTTGAGGGTAGCAGAGGCGGCAGCCGCCGCTGCCATAGTAAGAGGTTGTGAGCTTAAGATGATTTCCGATATGAAGGAATCAATGCATTAGGTTCCAAACGACTTAAGAAATTCTATTATTTATTTTCAAATGTTCATGACCAAGTTAAGATTTAATAGTTTCTTTTCCAGGAAATCGAAAAATGTTGGAGGGGGTTGGTTGTCTGCAGGCACCCCATTCGGTATTTTACTTACCTCGATTACCCACCCCTTTTGGTAGCGGCGCGACGCACCCACGTAACCTAAAAACATGTATATTAATATTGAGACTCTTGGTAAAATTTCAATATTCAGAGATACATTTGAACTCTAGAATTGAAAGAACCCATATAAATACTAGAGAGTGTCCAATTCTACTTTGTATAAATATATTTATAAATTGTATCAATTGATTCATATCTCCTACAGAATTTTATAACTATAAAAACTTATCTGTACAAAAGGTTTGATAGATAAAATGTTGGTTTTTGCTTATCATCAAACCAAAAGTTGCTTTATTTCATCTCTTTGCAGTAAAACGTTTTACACGGGAGTACCTTCCGGTTGCCTCGTGATAATATCCATCATGTGCATTGGTTGGACAAGGTAGGGTACTTCAATTTGTATGGTGGTAGGGTGATATGATTCACCCCATCAACCCCCTGTTCACATAAGTGTTTGTCCACATTTCCATGCAGGGTACTTAAGATTTGAGGGTGGGGTGATCACCCAAGGGGGCGTAGAATGATGGAGGGTAGGGTGGTTCAGGACCCGTACATGTGTCACAGATGTAGAATGGGTACCTCACTCGACATGTTTGTGAAATGTATCAAATTTCACTTCAAATTTGAAACCTTCTGAAAACATATTTGGAAAACAAATTGAAATCAGAGTGCCTTCAAGTTCCGGGCGGGCCCACCACTTTCCCCGGTTGTGCCGCAATGGAGGATTTTTGACCCATGGCGGATAGCAGGGTCGTCCTGGATGGTGTGGAAGAGCAAGAACAGACATGGATCTCTCCTCATATCTGAAGCCGCGTGAAGCGATGGAAGTAGCCGATCAGTGATCTCATGGACTTGAGCTTCTGGAGGGATCCACATCTTGCGAGTTTGGGACAGCATTTGGACGTTGGAGGGGCGAAAATCATTCTTCAACGAAAATATTCCAACGATGCATGACGGCTCAGTTGCCATCTTCGAGGCAGTCGTTCTCCTGAGTTTCAACGAATTACGTCATAGCTCATATAAAGTGTTGTTGAAAAAAAAACGATGGACAGAAGGCATTTGTTGACAAAATAGCAAGTTAACCATGCACCTTTCGTTGTTACCATCGCATCATGGTTGGTGGTACATCACAAGAATGGATGGTGATAAGCATGCAAACGTGAATCGGAACAATACGGCAAGCTTGTTTGTTCGACAGGTGTGGGTAAGCAAAGGCCGCGAAAATATCATGCAATGTGTCAAAGAATATGGCAAGATCATTGACCAGAGAGTCAACGACTGGCAAGACCATCGAGAAGCAATTCAGTGTGTGAAAGCGTGCCCAAGCTGATTGCAAATGGTCACTATCAGCTGAAAACTGCGAGCTGGACCGCATAAAACCCAAGCATTTCTATCAACCTGCTAATTTCAAACACGACCAATGTTTATTGACTTTGCTGATCTGCGACTACCATGTGTGATTTCGACTGCAACTGACAAAACCCTTATCACTCAAACCTTCCTTCCTTCCTTTGCCTTCTGGCTCTCCGCCAAGATCATCTGGTTGTACCTGTCGTAGTGCACCTTGCGGTTCAAGCTGATCACCTTCCGCACCCTCCTCGCATTCCTCACAACTCGCTCGTACACGTTCCTCACAAACGGCGACTGAGGCACATCCGACTCGACCTTGCTCCCGTCCGCTGACACCAGCCGCAGCCATCGCTCCTCCATCGGCCCGTAGCTCTTCTCCAAAACCATCGCAGGCACCTCAAGAAGCCTCTCCAGCATCTCCCTCGAGTACGCTGACGGCTGGCTGGGCGACAGGCAAGAGGCGATGACCTCCTTCTCTGCCGCTGACAGCTCGGCCTCGAAGCTCGACGTCGCTGCCTTGACGCGCTCCTCCTTGTCGACAAGCGACGCCTCGAAGCTGTTGAGCGACGTCTTCAAGTGCTCCAGCAGCTCCGTCACCTTCGGGTCCTTCTTCGTCGCCATCAGTCGCTGCGACGCCACCGCCAGCATGCACGCCGCCAGCACGTCGAAGTGGAAGTCCGCGTGGTACTTGTGTAGCCTGCTGATGTCCAGCTGCAGGGTCTCCGGGCAAGCGTCGGTCTTGACGGGCTCACTCCCCATGATCAGGCTCAAGACCGCAGCTGTGTGGATCTGCTCGTACGCCGCGCCCTCGCCCTGCACGAGCTTCGACAGGTCTGCCCGGCCCCTCCCTACCTCCTTCTCTACCTGCGCCCGGATCCACTCTGGCGTGCGCTGGAGGTAGGCTGGGTTGGCTTTGATCTTCTTGTCCATGTGCGCTCGCTCGTACTCGATCCCGTGGTTCTGAATGACGTGAGCGATGTTCCGTAGCCGGGCGTTGGCCGCGTCTACTCTCATGACGTTCACCCGCCCCAGCACATACTCCAGCGCCGTGCAGAACAGCGTCGGCTGGTCCTCCGGCGTGCTAGCTCGGAGCTCCTGCTCGAGAGCCTTCCAGCCTGCCTGCGTCTCCTGCTTCCGCGAGGGCTCCTGCATCTCCATCGCGATCCCCAGCATCCCCTCGATCAACGACACACACGACGACCAGTCCAGCGCCCCTGACTCGATCTGCTCTTGCCAGTAGGCCGTGTCGATCTTCTCCTTGAGCTCCTTGCTCCGGCTAGGCGATAGGTCGATCATCCCGTCCCTCACCTCCCCTACCACCTTGAGCACTCGCACGTAGCACGGCGGGGTGAGCCTCAGGTCGTCTACCAGGCTGTCCCAGAAAGCCACCTTGAAGCTCTCCCTCACCTTGGACAGCACGGGGTTGTCGAGGTAGCCTGCCCCCTGCTCGTCGAGCTTGAAGGCGGGATCCAGCAGCAGCTCGTGCGCCAGCTGCTCGTTGGTCATCCGGCCGGGCAGCGAAGACAGCCCGGACGCATTCGTCGAGGACGGTAGCTCTGCTGGCCTCGAGCTGCTTCCGGCCCCTTGCGAGGAGGACGATGCTGTCTCCTCCGACGGCTCCGCGTCGACCGCAGTGAAGCCTTGCTGTCTTAGCGCCTCGTCGAAGCTCTCCAGCCCCTGGGCTCCTGCGATCTGTAGCATCTTGGCTCGGAGCTTCGCCTTCTGCGCTCGGAACTCCTCCTTCATAGGCATGTACTCCTGGACGTCAGGGCTGAGGTGTGACTCCGCGCGGTAGAGGGCGAGAAGCGCATGCTTGATGCGCTCGGTGAGCTTGTGCTCGTCCGGGACTTTCCAGTCCTTGAAGCGAGCGAGGTAGACGTTGAGCTGCTTGAGGAAGGGCCTCCACGAGCTCCAATCATGCTGCGTGAGAGGCTGAGCGCGAGAGCTCTCAATGCTCGAGCAGATGTGCCTCAAGGTAGTGACGAGGTCGGCGGCGGCATGCTGCACTTGTTGCTCGAGGTGGCCGATGCTCTCGAAGCAGCTGCCGGGTCGGTTGACAACGAGGAAGGCGGCCATGAGGACTCGGACGTTGAACTGCTCTACCGTCTCGTCCTTGTCCAGTGGGAGGCCTCGCCGGACGACAGCGCGCTGGATGAGGAAGATGATGCTGGTGACGAGGCGCTTGAAGTCTCGGATGACCCACTTCTTCTGGGAGCGAGCTGTCATGTCAGAGAAGCGAGCTTCTGCGGGCCACTCGGCGATCAAGGACGATCTGGCGAGTCTTGCGAGGAGGCTGGGGAGGGAGAATCGGAAGGCGGGGCCTCGGAGGAAGCGAGCGATGCGGGAGGCCAAGATGGTCTTGGGAGGGGAGAGCTGGAGTCGAGAGAGGACACGCAGGTCAGGGGGAGGGGAGGAGGACGGAGAGAGCAGGAGGTGAGGGGGGGAAGCCGGGGAAGCAGGACGATGCATGTTGAGAGATCTAGAGAGTTTCTGATTTGCTCGGTCAAGATTTATGTCGCAGATGGCAAGGGGCTGGGAAAACACGAATCAGAGGAGGGGAGAGTGGAGGTTGAGGAAAGAACTCTTGCCAGGCTGGCTGCAAGCTTCGTTGAGGTAGAGGGGAGAACCATCTTGTATTTTAAACTAGTTTGTGGTAAACTGGCTGACCAGGGGTGGTCAGATCCCCAGGCTGTCCGTGGGGTGACCGGGTCACTCCAGGCAGCCACGGACTTTGGTCACTGTCACGTGACCGCCATGTTAACCGTCGGATGTTGACCGGCATATCCATGGCCTCGTACTGATTTTTAGCTTAACTTTGAGTAAACATCCATGGCCCAGATGATTCGATCCGATTTGTGATGCTGACTCGCGCTAGTTAGTGGGGCAAGTTTCTCAGTTACCGAGTTGAACATCCGATTGTCCTCGTACTGAATTTCACTAAAGGCTTAACTTTCAAAGTTTGAGCAAACAACCAGTATGGTCAACCGTGAACGGTTCCTGGTCGGACCGACCGCGCAGTTACTCTATCGGATGATCAGCCTGCCAGGCTGGGCCGTACCCGGTACATAGTACTCCGGTACTCCATACGGCCCTAGTATGCCAGGGCCCGCAACAAGTTAGTTCAAGTTGGCACTCGGTGACTGCTGCTGAGGCGGCCGGGCCGGCGGCACAGGCTTCTGAGCTCAGTGAGTGTTCGTGGCACCCGGCGCCCGGTGACCATCCGATCGGATGAATCGCAAGCTGACTCACCCACTCCCGCCGTTAAGTTAGCACTGCGACTACGGTAAGTTATTAGTCGGACGGTCTGTCAGTTAGAACTGAGAGAAGTTGAGATTCCCGGTGACTGCGGAAGGGTGCACGAGGAGGTGGGGGTGGGTGGCGGGTCACCATCTAGTACTTGGCGGTGTAGCATGGTACGGTCTGAGAGTAGGGTAGGGTAGGGTAGGGTGGAGGAGGGAAGGGTAGGGTAGGGTAGGGTAGGGTAAAATCAAAAAAGAACACAAAGTAGCGTGTACGGTGGGAGCTAGGAGACCAGAATGCCACATGCCACGGAAGGAGAAGGGGGATGGGAGGGGAGGGAAGGGTCAGAGACAGAGACAGAGAGAAAGAGAGAAAGAGAATCTGTTAAGAAGTCGATGGGAAGGCAGCAAGACAGAAGAACTCTAGATATGGCAGGCAGGAAGGTATAAAAACCTCGAACAACACAAAGCGAGGCCAAGAAGTGATTCTCAGGGCAAAACAGGAACAGTACACACAGCAAACGTGCAAACCGAACATTGATCAAACCCTGATTGATTCTCGCAGATCAGTGCTACATCATTGCAGCAACATGCGTCGTCCTGCTTCCCCGGCTTCTCCCCCTCACCTCCTGCTCTCTCCGTCCTCCTCCCCTCCCCCTGACCTGCGTGTCCTCTCTCGACTCCAGCTCTCCCCTCCCAAGACCATCTTGGCCTCCCGCATCGCTCGCTTCCTCCGAGGCCCCGCCTTCCGATTCTCCCTCCCCAGCCTCCTCGCAAGACTCGCCAGATCGTCCTTGATCGCTGAGTGGCCCGCAGAGGCTCGCTTCCCTGACATGACAGCTCGCTCCCAGAAGAAGTGGGTCATCCGAGACTTCAAGCGCCTCGTCACCAGCATCATCTTCCTCATCCAGCGCGCTGTCGTCCGGCGAGGCCTCCCACTGGACAAGGACGAGACGGTAGAGCAGTTCAACGTCCGAGTCCTCATGGCCGCCTTCCTCGTCGTCAACCGACCCGGCAGCTGCTTCGAGAGCATCGGCCACCTCGAGCAACAAGTGCAGCATGCCGCCGCCGACCTCGTCACTACCTTGAGGCACATCTGCTCGAGCATTGAGAGCTCTCGCGCTCAGCCTCTGACACAGCATGATTGGAGCTCGTGGAGGCCCTTCCTCAAGCAGCTCAACGTCTACCTCGCTCGCTTCAAGGACTGGAAAGTCCCGGACGAGCACAAGCTCACCGAGCGCATCAAGCATGCGCTTCTCGCCCTCTACCGCGCGGAGTCGCACCTCAGCCCTGACGTCCAGGAGTACATGCCTATGAAGGAGGAGTTCCGAGCACAGAAGGCGAAGCTCCGAGCCAAGATGCTACAGATCGCAGGAGCCCAGGGGCTGGAGAGCTTCGACGAGGCGCTAAGACAGCAAGGCTTCACTGCGGTCGACGCGGAGCCGTCGGAGGAGACAGCATCGTCCTCCTCGCAAGGGGCCGGGAGCAGCTCGAGGCCAGCAGAGCTACCGTCCTCGACGAATGCGTCCGGGCTGTCTTCGCTGCCCGGCCGGATGACCAACGAGCAGCTGGCGCACGAGCTGCTGCTGGATCCCGCCTTCAAGCTCGACGAGCAGGGGGCAGGCTACCTCGACAACCCCGTGCTGTCCAAGGTGAGGGAGAGCTTCAAGGTGGCTTTCTGGGACAGCCTGGTAGACGACCTGAGGCTCACCCCGCCGTGCTACGTGCGAGTGCTCAAGGTGGTAGGGGAGGTGAGGGACGGGATGATCGACCTATCGCCCAGCCGGAGCAAGGAGCTCAAGGAGAAGATCGACACGGCCTACTGGCAAGAGCAGATCGAGTCAGGGGCGCTGGACTGGTCGTCGTGTGTGTCGTTGATCGAGGGGATGCTGGGGATCGCGATGGAGATGCAGGAGCCCTCGCGGAAGCAGGAGACGCAGGCAGGCTGGAAGGCTCTCGAGGAGGAGCTCCGAGCTGGCACGCCGGAGGACCAGCCGACGCTGTTCTGCAAGGCGCTGGAGTATGTGCTGGGGCGGGTGAACGTCATGAGAGTAGACGCGGCCAACGCCCGGCTACGGAACATCGCTCACGTCATTCAGAACCACGGGATCGAGTACGAGCGAGCGCACATGGACAAGAAGATCAAAGCCAACCCAGCCTACCTCCAGCGCACGCCAGAGTGGATCCGGGCGGTGGTAGAGAAGGAGGTAGGGAGGGGCCGGGCAGACCTGTCGAAGCTCGTGCAGGGCGAGGGCGCGGCGTACGAGCAGATCCACACGGCTGCGGTCTTGAGCCTGATCATGGGGAGTGAGCCCGTCAAGACCGACGCTTGCCCGGAGACCCTGCAGCTGGACATCAGCAGGCTACGCAAGTACCACGCGGACTTCCACTTCGACGTGCTGGCGGCGTGCATGCTGGCGGTGGCGTCGCAGCGACTGATGGCGACGAAGAAGGACCCGAAGGTGACGGAGCTGCTGGAGCACTTGAAGACGTCGCTCAACAGCTTCGAGGCGTCGCTTGTCGACAAGGAGGAGCGCGTCAAGGCAGCGACGTCGAGCTTCGAGGCCGAGCTGTCAGCGGCAGAGAAGGAGGTCATCGCCTCTTGCCTGTCGCCCAGCCAGCCGTCAGCGTACTCGAGGGAGATGCTGGAGAGGCTTCTTGAGGTGCCTGCGATGGTCTTGGAGAAGAGCTACGGGCCGATGGAGGAGCAGTGGCTGCGGCTGGTGTCAGCGGACGGGAGCAAGGTCGAGTCGGATGTGCCGCAGTCGCCGTTTGTGAGGAACGTGTACGAGCGAGTTGTGAGGAACGCGAGGAGGGTGCGGAAGGTGATCAGCTTGAACCGGAAGGTGCACTACGACAGGTACAACCAGATTATTACTTTCAGCACTGGAGCTTTGTCGATCAGAGTTGGGGCTTGACAGATTGATCCTTGTCCTTTCATCAGAGTTGAACTACATCGTTCAAGCTTTTCTGAGGTTGTCTGCTATCAATGAAGCAATTGTAGATGCTAAACATGTCTCGTTCAACCTTTAATTGTGTTGTGGAGGAGTAAATCCGAATGAACAAGAAACATCCTCTCTAGTCTGTTTTTGTCGTGCTTGACTTGTGCCAATGGACGAATAGACTTGTTTTTGTGTTGAATCAGCTCATCGTTCAGACAGAAAGCAGCTTGATCCTATGAAGGACGTCAACCAGTCTGTTGGAGCAGAACAACTTTCACCTTGCAAGAGCGTTGGCTCCGTCCTTCCGCAAGCCACTGAGAGAGCCCTGTGAAGATCGAAGCCGCTCTTGCAGTCTGCGAGGCGATGAGAAGACGAGAGGAGGAGACGAAGATAAGAAAAGACAACAAGCTCAGACCTCTTCCACCAGCTTCCGTCAGAAGAGATTCTGACCTTTTTGAGACACACAAGCATTTCGCTCAGTAAATTCACAAATCTTTCAATCTCTGGGGCTTCAGCCACGTCATGATCTACACGGCTCCCAAGAGTTCTTTACCCTCGCCATCATCCGAAAAGCTCCGGTTGTTTAAAATCTCGAGATGCTTCTGAGCTTGATGGAGACCCTTTTCTGCCTTGCTGACATAGAAAGCCTGCGAGAGAGTCAGGCAGGGATCGCGGATCTAAGGTAGAGCACGTGAAGATTCAAGACGACGACGTTGAAGCAGTGCACAGCCTTCGCGTTGCTCCGGAAGAATCTTCAGATCGCGTCAGCACTAGCTGCGAGGCTCGAAGCTACCTTGACTGGCCCGGGAAGCCATGGGCCATTAGACTGAGGAGACTCGAGCTGGACGTCAGCTCAGGAGAGCTGGAAGGAGGTGAAGTGAGTGTGCGAGAGGAGGCGGCGGAGAGAGAGACCTTTCATCGAGCACGGGGCGACTTCGAACCGATGCGGCGTCTCCTGCCATGGAGCTCCTCGAATGTGAGCCTGCAAGGCTTGGGAGGCTGTCCTGAGACGACGATCGCAACGAGACGTTCGTCTGGCCCTTCTTTCCCTGCTACTCAGTCTGGTCAAAGAAATGATGGTGGGCTGCAGCTGCTTACCAGCGGTCTTAGCCTCTTGCTCTGCATCCCCATCGGAGATTTGGATCGTGACAGTCTGCTTCCGTGCATCAAAGACCTGGAGCTGTCAGGACCGGCTCCACGAAGCCACCGCAACTCACTTGGCGGATGAGACGGAGGAGGTGTCCGAACACGCGGGAGTATGCGAGTTGACACGGGAGGACCTTTCGCACGCGTCCAATGCATCCTCCTGCTCTTGCTCAGAGCCAGCTGGGAAGTGGAAGGGAAACTCACAGTGAACCCCAGGTTGAAGAGGATAACCGCCTCGTGACCGACCCAGATGCTGACGAGGTCTAGAACCTTCATGGCCGAGCATCAGGAGATCTCGAGCAAGCTCTCTCAGTCTCCCTTGCCTGTGCTGAGCTTTCACTCCCTTTCAATCCTGCTTCTGCGATGGAGCCATGGTAGGGGTAGCCCTCTGGCAAGGCAGTGAGTCAAGGAGCAGGGTCGGAGGGAGAGGGCAGACCGTGGAAAATTTCCCTCAGGACCTCCGTGGCATGCTCCCGGACCTGACAGATCACAGTCAGCTACCAGAGGTAATGAAGGATGTGACGGGCGATCTTACCTTCTCAGAGAAGTACAACGCGGAGATCATCTGATTCTGCGCGAAATAGGATTGGCTGATCACATCATATAGCATCCCCTTGATCAGGTGATGCCCTGGGCAGGTCTGCAGCGCATGTGAGCTGATGTCATGACCCCTCGCACTCACCATCAGCCCGGATCTGTTGTGGATGAGGTTGAGGATAGAGTTAAGAGTGTCGACCGCTTCGTGCGGTCGTCCGCTGGAAGTTGTTGAGCTCAGCCCTCGGCTGGTCAAGATGTCTGCAGACTCACCTTGCTATCATCATCCTTGCTATGTACTCGCTTGCAAGGGAGATGCTGAGGGCCAGCGACCTTGTTGAGTTGCCCTTAGAAAGGGTCAGGACAATGAACATCGGAGGTTCGGGGCAACGTCAAAATGGACAGTCTGAAGCGCAAGGAGGAAGTCGTCTAGCAGGATCTGCAGCGCTCCATACAGCTCTCCTGCACTGATCAACTCTGAGGTAGAACCATCAGAACTCCTCGACATCCGTCGAATCTTGAACAAACACCGGTGAATCGGGGAAACTTAATGGTAAGGTTGTGCAGCCTCTTACTCCACACGTCGGGGCAGGGCTGAGACACCCAGAAAGGGCAGAGGGGAGTGAGGCAGACGCTGATAGAGATGTGCATTCTGTTCATCTGCCAGCAAGCTCAACGATCTCGAGGGACTGAGTGCTTGTTCTTGACCTCAATCTCTTCCGAGGGAGGCAGGTGGTTGGACGGTGTTGATACTGGATCATGACCTCCTCTAGAGGGATGCCCTTCCCACTCGAGACTGTCGCTAGACAAGTTCGCTTGCTTCAAGTCTTCCAGCCCTCCAAACTTCTTCTCCACTGACCGCCGAAGCTCCTGGACATGGTGGACAAGCACCTGGATGGTCTTTAGCATCAACAGCAGACGCAGTTGGAACCTCATGATGAAAATTGATGTCTCGAGTCTCACATCTGGAGAGCAGCAGAGTGAACCCTTGCTGTCGGGCATGCCATGGAGCCTTACCTGTCCAACGCCTCCTTTCCTCGCATGGGAAGCAGCAGCGAAGAGTTGATGGACTGTGCGATGAAAAACTTTGACTCTCTCGCTGCTTTCCTTGCAAAGTGAGCCTGCCAACTGAATCAGCGGCTAGACAGTCTGGGTGTTTCCTCACCCTCCATGCCGTCTGGATGGAAATGGAAGCATCGTCTCCTCCAAGCGGGGGCGAGTAGTCATCGAGGGTATACCTGGACTTTTTCTCCTCCTCTTCGAACTTGTTTCTTTCTCCTCCTCCTCCTCCTCCTCCTCTCTCAGCGATGTCATCCAGCTCTCCTCTCTGACCCGAGAACAGCGTCTGTCTCATCCCTCGCAGCGCCCGCATCCCTTCCTCCACCTCCGTGCTCATTCTTGTCGCCACCACGACTCAACTCCAGGGAACAACGGAAGACACCCCAATGTTTCTACTACCCCACCCACCTTTTGTGAGATTACTTTCCTTCCTTGCACGGGTATCAAAAATACCCCTACCTGTACAATACAAGTAAAAAAAGTCAAGCCAAGAAAAAATCTGTCACGGGGTCAAGTCAAATACAACCGACCATGGCGGGCGAGGCAAGCTGACAATGTTATCATGCAACGAGCGACTCATCCCTCTCCCTCTCCCTCTCCCTCTCCCTCTCTTCCCTGTCCCTCTCCTCCTCTCTTCCTCTCTCTCCTCCTTCTCTTCCTCTCCTCTCCTCTAGCTTCATGTCAGTTCTGGGACACGGCAGAGCCCGCGTTCACATGGGCCAGCGGGGGAGCTATCCTCACTGTGCGAGGGTTCTTCCCGACCTTGAACTACACTTGCAGTTTACTCCCATCTGCTGCCCAGCAAACTCCTGTAGCATGCTCGCCGATCGCAAACCAACAAATGCAAACGGAGCTCAGATTCTCCCTGCCAGTTTGGCAGCTGGCAGCCCAGGATGCGATCGTGCAGATCGCCGATGCCACCACAAGGAAAGTTCTCAAGGGACCAGGAGGGGCGTCAGAGAAGATCACGATCGTGAGATTTTCCGTCATGTATTGTTGTAACCTATCTCTTACTCCTATTCGTTCAGATGCCGGTCTGGACTAGCAAGTCGGCCATACAAGGGGCAGCGACTGGAGGAACTGCGCAGGGCTCGCAAGCATTCACAATCTCAGGGCTAGGATTCGATCGCGATTCCTCCAACTATGTCTGTAAGTTCATCCGCTACGAGTCCAGCTCTCCCACAGCTGATGTCGCGCAAACTCTTCCATTCCAACCGATGAACAGCGCTGAGTTGGTTTGCTCTACACCCACCTGGAGCTTCGAGGGGAGCACAGGCGACAATGCGGGCAAGGCCCTGGTCCTGGTAGAGAAGGGAGGTCAGGTTGTGATGTACCAAGGAGTCTCGTCGGGGAATGAATATTTCTTTTCAACGGTCTGGAGGATAGATGGGAGCTCCGGGTACTCGTCGCCCGGTCAAACCATCACCATACAGGGCTATGGCTTCGGGACCTTGCAGGATCAGTATCTTTGCAGCTTTGAGTCCACAGGTCTCACTGTGCAGTCCCAGGCATCCAGCGTATCACCTTCGGAGCTGCATTGTGTCTTGCCTGGTTGGACGGCGAGGGCCCAGACGGTAGATTTAACCTTGTACAAGGTCAAGTGCAGGGGCATCAACTATGAGGTTTCCTCTTGCAAGACGACAGTGCAACTTCAAGGAACTTTGAATTCGCGGACGCCATTCCAGTTCTTGACATCGATCCACAACTACTCGGCATCCACCAGTTATGCAGCGAAATCAGTGCCAAGTTTCCTGACAGTGCATGGAGGAGGATTTGATGGAGGTTCTTTCAACTACACGGTGGAGATCAAGTCGCTGACGGACTCGAGTCAAGTCTTGACTATCCCCGTCCGAGCCTCAGATGTTTCTGGCTCCTCAATCACTGTGACTCTGAGCGAATGGATCTTCACCCCGAACATACTCTGCTCTATAATTGTGTTTCAGGGATCTCAAATCATTCCCAATGTCGGAGCTTCAAAGGCTGAATTCACCTTCACGTCGATGTGGAGCGACTACCAGGACGGCATCCTACCCTTGAGAGGAGGAGCTTCATCTGGAAATGAAGTGCTGACCATCTTTGGGAATGGATTCGTGTTTCAGGCTCAATTGGATCAATCAGAACAATACTTTTGCACGTTTTCAACGGAGACGATGCGAATGAATGCAAGCAGGTCCGTGGTCATATCAAGCACCGAGATCGCATGCACGACCCCAGACTGGGGAGCGATGTACACTGCTATGAAGACTGTCTTGTCGTTGCACAAGGGTAACTATACGTACCCGAATACCGCAGAATATGAGTTTTCCCCGTCGTGGAGCTCCTTATCCATCACGTATGGCTCCTTCAGTGGAGGGGAAACACTGTCTGTGTTCGGTTCGGGGCTGAACATATCGGCGAAGTACAGATGTAAGTTCAGTTTCAATGAAGACGAGGTCTTTGCTTGGTCGGACGAAGTATATCCGTACGACACAACCAAGATTGTCTTCACAACTCCCCGATGGCAGTATCTGTCAAGGAACAACGTTCGAATATACATCTTCGAAGGAGACAAGAAGCTCATCAACGAGCTCGAGTCCGACTTGTTTGCTGGGATCATCTTCCGATTCGTCGTCGGCGTGCTTGTCTCAGCTCCTCGATTGGTCCTGCAGACCCCCGACGTCGGCCATCTTTTCTTGCGTCCTGACACGTTTTCCGTGATCCCGATAGTCATACACATCACCAGCAGCGACAGTCAGGTGGCAAACGCTACGGGCGACGTTTCCTTCCAACGAGACGACCAGATCCTACCTGAGGGGAAGCAAATCTCCGTCTACTGCCTGCGGCCAGGGGCTGTTTCGCTGGTTCTAACGGTCAGCAACGCGGACGGAAGCAACAACTTCGCAAACAAGGTCACGGTCGTCTGCTCTGCAGGCTTCCGCTTCAGCTCTCCGCAGCTGGAGGTAAAGCCCAGCTCACCCCCAGCAAACGTCACGTTGACCCTGGACTCCGAGATCAGTCAGCCCCTGAGGGTAGAAGTTACCTCAGGCAATCTAGAGCTGCTCACAGTGTCGCCGCTGCAGCTAACCTTCAACCGATCCAACGAGAGCGCTGAGATCTCGGCGGTGTGGGTAGGAGCTGGAGCCACCAACATCTCAGTCAGAGGAGTCACAGACAGCGGCAACCTGCTGTTCGCGCACTCTACGGCCTCGCTTGGTGTCCGATGTGAACCGGAAATTCTCTTCAGCCCGAGCGCTTTGCGCCTGAATGCTGGTGAGACGATCCGATTTTCTGTTGAACTCCGTCCTCCTCCTACCCTCCCTGTCACCTTTAGAGTGCTAGCAGACAAGGAAGGCTTCTTAGAGTTCGATCGGCAAGTTTCCTTCGGGGCGAACATAACCGGGCCCAAGGAGATCACGGTAAAGTACGTGAAGGCAGGGCAGACGACGTTGAGACTTGTGGCCGAGAGTCCAGGGATGCTGAGCAAGCTATCGTCCAATTGTTCCACTGAAGACGCCAGGAGGTGTTCTCAGGTGTTTGCAAACGCCAACGGCTGCGACTTCTCGACGCTCTACACGTCAAGAGATGAATGGAACCTGCTGCTGACCCAGCTGTCGCACGCGGCGGGAGTACAAGACTGCTCCTCCTACTTCGACTGCCTGAGAGTCTCCTGCTGTAGCTCACCGCCAGCCTTGACCTGCTCAAGGGCCCTGCAGGACAAGCACTGCAGTCTTGATCTGATCCTCCCTCGCCTCTCGAAGGTCGAGGATGCCTCCTATGACTTCGGGGTGGTGCCGCTGGACTCGCAGCAAACTCTGAAGCTCTACCAGAGCTGGACCCCCAACCTCAACTGCATGCCTTTCGTCCCTTGTGCATGGAGCTCTTGCTTTCCTGGCAACGGAAACTACGACGGGATGACATCGCATGCGATGGTGATCCTCTCCCTTCCCAGCTTGTCCCTCGACCTCGATCAAGTCCATCTGCAGCAGGGAGGCAGTCAGAGAGTGACTGTCTCTCTAGATATCCGCCCGTCAGCTCCTGTACTCGTCAAGATCACGATCGTGAACGTTCAGAGCGTGACGAGTTTACCTGTTGCGGTTGCCCATCCGTCTGAGATCGTGCTGCAAGGCTCCAGCGCTGCAACCTTCGACCTGACTTGGGCGGGTGTAGGGCGAGCAGACGTGGTCCTCACATGCTCGGGGGGGGCTGAGTACGAGAACGTCTCTAGGGTGCACAGCAAGTTTGTGACCTGCCTTCCTGGGATTGAGCTGGAGGTGTACAGTGGGGATGGATACAAGCAGGATCTGAGCACAGTGATGACGCGTGCAAACGTCAATGTCTCCCTTGCTGTAGCCGCTGGCTTCACTCTCTTCGGACGTGTTGACGTCGGTCTTCAGGGCTCTCAAGGAACTTTCTTGCAGCCTGCTCACTTTTCTCTCTCCGGTCCCTCCCCCGTGCTGGTGCACCTGGCGACGGCGCAGACAGGCTCTTTCTCGGTTGATGTCAGCCTGGCAACAGCTGGAGCTGGCGAGCAGTTCATAGTTGCCTCTCAAGGACTCGGGTACACGAGTGGGGAGATGTCGATAGTGGGTTATGGTGGTAGAGACTTTGCAGGTCGATACGAGGTGGGAGTGATTCATTGGGACTACTACTATGACAGAGTGACAGAATCAGCTCTACGGGGGTCAAACTACTCGCTCATGGGCGCAGACACCTTCTCGATGCCACCTGGCGGAGCTGAGATTGCGGTAGAGAGATGTATGAAACAAGCTGCCGGTCAGTCGATCGTCGTGGACGGAGTCTTGCGGTTGACCGGACACACTGGGATAGAAGTGAAGGGATGTCAGCCTAAGATGAACTTCAGCGTTGACGGAGGGAGTTTGAGCCATGTCTCGTTCGAGAGCGGACGTTGCATCGTCACCGGACTGACGTGCGCCATCTCCCTCCAAGGATACGGAGGCTCCGGTTTTCACGGCTACTTCCAGACGGGCTTCGCAAACTTCTCGATCAACTCCAACGGCACTGGATACGACTGCTCCCTTGGCTGTCTGGTGAACATGGCAAGAAGCCCTTTGGCCGCCGCAGAAGAGCAGACTTGTGCTCTGAATGTTACAAACTGCACAGATGGGTATGTTGGCAATGCAGTGGTCGTGTTTGGGAACGTCATCTCGTTCCGACCGAAGCTGCTTGTTGTTGTCTTTCCAGATATCATGCTGAGCCCTGCGAGTTTTCACCTTGGTGCGAACCAGACCGCTCTGATTCAAGTGAGACCATTAGAGACTGTGACAGCTGGAGTTTCGTTCAATCTCAGCACAAACTCTTCCTTTCTTCACGTTCAAAACTTCAGGTTCGAGACGGGAGACAACAAGAAAGACGCCAACGTCTCGTTTGTCATCGAGCGAAGGGGCGGAAGCTCGGGAGTTGCCTCACTGCTGGTGCAGGCGAATCACGTCGGAAACTATGCCTGGTTCAGACGATCGTTGGTTGTGACGCTGATGCCAGATTTCAAGTTTGTGTCTACCTCAATCACTCTGCAGAGATTTCCAGGACAAGGTTTGATCCAGATTGCTCCCGACACGTCTCTGAACAAAGACACCCTACTGCATGTCGAAATCGTCTCAGACTTTGGACAAGACTGGACAAAGATTAATTTCGGGCGAAAGATTCTGCTGGTGCCCGACGTCGCGCTACTCAAGTCAGCTGATACCGGATTTCTCTCGATTCCCATAGAGCACGGTGGCTCCGACTCATCGTCCATCCCCAACATTGTGAGCGGGACGGCAGTCGTAAGATTCTTTGTGAATGACACTCAGAGCAACTACAACGGAGTCGGACTCCTGTCTCCTTCTCAGACTGTCGCCGTGTCAGTGAAGCCAGGGTTTCACGTCAGCTTCGACCCCACGAGGACGTACAAGATCCAAAGGCTCTCGAGCTTCGAGTTCTCCTTGAAGCTCGACTTCCCAGCTGACTCTGACCTCAGCATCAACCTGATGAGGTCGTTCAACATGACCATGTCTCAGACTGGCTCGTTGCCCGTTAGGCGGGGGGACGTGGGGCCCTTCCAGATCAACGTCCCTCACGACGGGTCTGTGGGGTTGTCTACTTACTCGTTGATCGTCAGCGGCGCCAGCGGCAACTACGCAGGAGTCACAGCCATGGAAGTACTGAAGGTGTCGATGCTGCCAGGCCTCGTCCTGTCCGTACCCCAGCTCGAGCTGCAGTACTCCAGAGCTCCCACCACTTTCACCGTCCGTCTTGACACTCAGCCTACGGAAGATGTCATGTTCTCTGTTGAGAACTCCAACCCGTCTGTGCTGAATGCTACAGGCTCCATCTTCTTCCCTGCCAACTCGTGGGATGTCGATCAGGTTGTAGCTGTCACGTGGATCAAGGCGGGGAGGGCTACTCTGTCGTTCAAGGCGAACAGCCCCGGAGGCAACTACCAGGACGTTGCTTGCTGTGACATCAACATCGTTGCCTACCCAAGAATGTTTGTCTCGCAGTCAGACGTTCTCCTGCAAAAGAATGTGGTGCTAAACATCTCAGTTGGCCTCCCGACCGTCCCCTCTCAACACGCAGTCGTGCATGTCACGAGTCTGCCAGAGGGAATCGTGAGTGTGGATCAAAGTCTATTCTTCCCAGCTTCCTCCAGCTCCACAATGGTTCTGTCTATCCGATATCTCAGCCACGGGAAAGCGACCTTGTCCTTGAAGGTGACGAGCGCGGACAGTGCTGTGAATGGAGTGGTAGGATACGTGTACGTCGACGCGCTTCCAGGCTTCACGTTCTCTCAGTCTGACGTCAGCTTGTACAGCTGCCCTAGGACCCTCCAGTGCAATGTCACCATCGAGTTCTTCCCCGACCTCGTCCCGGACCAGCCAGTCACAGTCCTCCTGACCTCCTCCGACCCGTCAGTCGCCACTCTCTCGCCGGACTCTGTGTCGTTCCTCCCCAACTCAACCTCTACCCAGCGCAAGACGTTCACCATCTTCTACCGCTCCCCAGGATTCGCCTGCGTCAGCTTCGCCGCCACCAGCCTCGGCAACTACAACGACATCTCCTCGGGAGGCGTCAACGTCCGGGCCCTGCCGGACTTCAGAGCCGTTGGCTCGACTTTCCGAAGTGTCAACAGCTGGGAGACTGACAGCCCCTTCGACTTTGATGTCGCTCATCCTGCCGTCTACGTCCAGAACCAGACCAGCTCCAACATCACCATCACCCTAACTGAGATCCCTTCGGAAGAGGTGCTGGTCATGATCGTGAGCTCGAACCCAGATATCGTCTCGCACACAAGCTCCTTACGCTTCCCTCGGGGGTCTCTGACAGCACAGACCATCACTGTGACCTTCAAGCGGTACGGCAGCTGCTTCCTCAGCTTGTACGGTCAGGGCGGAAACTATGAGGGAGCGAAGTGGGAGCAAGGCATCTCGGTGAAGGCACTCCCGACGTTCCTCCTACCGGAGAGGATCACCCTGGACTATCACTCGCAGTACAGCATCGTCCTTCAACCTTCTGTTCCTCTCGTCGGAGACGTCAACGTCTCGGTGACTGTTGAGCTCCCCGACCGGATGAACGTCATCACACCCATCGTCTCCCTCCGAGCCAATCAAACGGCCGTGGCTGTCGTGCAGCATGTCAACCCCGACTACACCAAGATCAAGGTGCTGGCCTACGGGCCCGGGTCAAACTACAACTACGTCGAGCAGATCATTATCGCAACTCTCAACTATCCAGGGTTCTCGCTGTCAGCCACCACGTTGCACGTGCAACGATGGTTCAACGGCTCGATCATCGGGCCTGTCCGGGGGCAAGCAGAGCTCTACCTGACGCCCAACTTCGCTTCAAGCGCCTCCATCGTCATCAACATCAACAATCAGAACCAAAACATCATTGCAGTCACGGAACCCAGCAACTTCCAGCTCGAGTACCCGGTACTTCTCCTCCACCACCACCCCTCCTCTCACTGAAACTTTTGCAGACTAACAGTATCGTGTCCAAGCTCGTACGGGTAGAGCACAAAGGTATTGTTGGCAGGTCTGTGCTTGCCTTCGGTACCCCAGCTACCCAAGGCATCATCATGCCTATACCTCTCGTCACTGTCCTTGCGCATGCTGGCTTCAGCCTCTCTCAGACCGCCGTCACCATCCAGAGAAAGGGAAATGGGAAAGTCACCTTGTCCTTGGACACCCCACCGCAATCTGACACCACCATCTTCTTCTCCTCCTCTAATCCCGCCATCCTGTCAGTTCAGCAGACCGTGGTGTTCTACAAGAGCGAGACTATCGGCCAGACTGTCCGTTTCGAGCACATTAGCCCTGGTCTAGCCTATATTAACTTCGTCGCTCAGAGTCAGACCGACGACTACAACGGGGCAGCCGCCTACCATGCCGTGGCTGTCACATGTAAATTCGGCCTGGTGTTTGACAAGAGCACCATCTACGTCCCTGCTCCCCCCACAGCTGGAGGGTTGACCACCCTCGCAGTGGCCCTGGAGACTCCCAGCTCGACTAACGTTACCCTCCACTTGGCGTCCTCCGACGAGAGCAAGGCGACGCTGGTCAACCCGACGGTCTTCTTCGTCAGCGGGAGCACGGAAAAAAAGAACATAAGCATCTCCTATGTCGCCTCGTCCACGGCCTCCAACCCCGTGTTCCTGACCGTAACGCTAGAGACAGCAGCTGGTTCGGTGTACTCCAACGTGTCAGTGGACCCCGTTCCTCTCGTCAGCCTCGGAAAGTTTCTCTTCTCATCTCAGGATGTTTTCGTGCAGAAGGGAAGAAGCATTCAGGTGGAAATCTGGCCCAACGTCCCCCCTGATAGCGACGTGACAGTGAGCATTCAAAACTCCAACTCTACCATCGCTCAAGTGTCAGGAGCGATAACCTTTCTAGCGGGTAGAACTGACCGCCTGACGTTCACCGTCGTTCACAGAAGCTTTGGGTCTTGCCGATTGAGCTTCACTGCAAGCAGCAAGGGAAACTTCTTCGGGGTTGTCATGGACAATGCAGTGAATGTCACAGCAAGCTACGGGTTCAGGGTGTTCGAAATGAGTTTCGGCACTTCAGGTTTCGTCCCTGGATCCGAGGTGCAGGTTGGACAAGTTTTCAAGCTGCAGGCGCAACAGACGTCTCCCCTTTCCCGACGGAGTTTTTTCATTGCAACTGACGTGCCGGTGACCTCAACGACGAGGATTGTGGTCGTTTCTTCGAACACGACATGTGTAGTAGCCGGGGACCCTGTAATCCTGGAGCCAGGAGGCTCCCCGTACAAAACATTCCAAGTCAGATATGGCCTCCTGCCTTGCTCCAGCGTCATCTCGTTCAGGGCTGAGACTACAGGAAACTATCTCGGGGTTGAGTCTGGAGCACTTGACATCGTGTCTCTACCATCGTTGACTTTCTCTTCCGTCAGAGTCAACGTTCAGTACAAGTCGTATGGCTTCTTCTCTGTCTCCCTCAGCGATCCTCCGACGTCGGACGTCAACATCACGGTGGAGTCATCGGATCCAACCATCGCCAGCTTCACCTCTTTCTTGGTCTTCTCCAAGAACAGCACAGGTCCACCTACCGCCCAGGTCATGCTCACCTACATCAGCCAGGGCTCCTTCGCTCTCAGCTTTTCTGCAGCAGGAGGAAATTACGATGGGCTGCAGTGGGATAACGCAGTGCTCGGCCTGACCAGCCCGGGCTTGATTTTCTCCTCGACCCTTCTGCAGATTGGCTTCGATGCGTCCATGTCTTTCTCCATCCGCCCCGACACTGTTCCGACCGAAGTGGCTCTCTTGTACGTGACCAGCTCGCAGCCGGTCATAGCAGAGCCGCTGCTGGAGGTGTACAATCTCAGTGCTGGAACAATTGACAACATCACGATCACTGTCAGGTCAACTTGCTCGTCAAGCCCAAGTTTCTGCATCCGGACTGGCTCCGCATTCCTCAGCTTTCGCGCTGTCAGCAACCTGGGAAATTATGACGCGATGGAAAATCTCCGGGCGGTCGAAGTTCGCGTGCGATCTCCCGGGTTCGACTTGTCGGTGACGTCAATCAACCTGCAGCGGTACCCAGGAAGCAGCGTCTTCTACCTCTCCCCTCGAGTCCTCGTCAACGTGGATACGGTCGTGTTTGCTCGATGTATGGATGAGACAGTCTGTCTCGTGCAGCAAGCGCTTGTCATGCCGGCGGGTTCCGACGTGACCTCCAAGTTTAACTTCACAGTGTCCTACCAATCTGTAGGGCAGACGTTTGTGAGGTTGACGGTGGAGAATCCTCAAAATTCAATCTACTTTCAGATCGACCCGATCTTCATCCCAACAACAGCATACGCCGACCTGACCCTCTCACCGGACTCCCGAGAAATCAAGATCCAGCCCTACTCCTCCTACAAGATTCAGCTAACTCCCTCCTTTCCTCTGGTGAACGACATCTTGGTAGAGGTTGTCACCTCCAACCCAAGCATTGTGCTCGCAGCTCAGTCTACCTTCTCTCTCAGCGCATCAAGCCAGATCGTAGGACTGGACGTGTACGCTGCTGTAGGAATGCGCGTCATTCTGACTGCAGACTTCCAGACGTTCCCTCGTACTGGTCCGGGAACCATCACTTACCTTCTCAACGAGAACCTCGATGTTGTGTTAGTCGACTGGGACGAGGGACCAAAGAATCAAACCTACTTTGCCGGGTACAACAATCAATACATGTTGGCCAGGTATCAGTCGCAAGTAATCAACTTGGAACTCCTGTGGATTGGATTTGGGATCGGTCAGGTCGATATCAGGATCCGCAGCAAAGATTTTGTCTATGATCGATCTACTTGCAGCAGCTGCATGGTAGTCACCTGTCTCCCTCCTTTCTTGTTCAACCCGCCAAACCTCATTTTGCAGTCTGCGTCATCTGCAACCGTTCTGATGACCCCGGCAACTCCCGTCACGGCCAACACTCTTCTCAACGTCCAGACGAGGATCGTTGTTGGCCCTGACCTGCTCGTGTACGCCGTCAGCACCGTTCAGCCGTCCAGCCTTGAGATCCTCAACTTCGGTCAAGCGGAAGGGCCCAGCAGCCATAGCTTCGTGATCACGTGTGTTGCAGCTGGCGTTTCTCAGCTGGTACTTCAAGCCAGCGGGGGAGGGTATGATGGCATCAATTATCCAGGGCTGAATGTCACCTGCTTACCTACGTTCATCATCGTCCCTCCGCAGGCTCCGGGTCCTCTCAGTCCACAGAGCTCTTTCACCTTCTACCTGTCTCCCTCGGAGGCCCCTACCTCCCTCGTCACTCTCATCCTGCTATCCAACTGCTCAGGCATCCTTGATCATCCGGCTAGGTTGTACTTCAGCCCCTACGTCGTGACTCAGAGCCAGACTGTGCAGCTGTCGTACTCCGTCGGAAGAGCAGACCTTGTGTGTGCTGTTTCTGTCACGTCCTCAGGCGGGAACTATGAAGGTGTCCACGTGCCTGCATCCTTGGTCCTCCGACTGACCAGCCCTGCTCTTATCGTGCTGGCAACCTCCATTGACGTTCAGCCAAACAGCATCTCGCTCATTCCCGTCAAGCTCAATACTCTACCAAATGCGACCGTCACGGTTGCCGCTATGTCCTCAGACCCTGCGATCGCAAAGGTAGTCGGCAGTGTCTTCATCTCTGATACGGACATACACTTCATCCAGATAGCGCATGTCAGCGTTGGCCGTTGTCAGGTGTCTTTCTCGCTGACTGCCGCTGACGCGAGCACTTTCTTCTATGCTCCTGCCCCGTCTGCTGTTGTCCAGGTCCGCTCCCTTGGTCCAGGGTTCCTAGTCAATGTCAGCAGCCTGCTAGTGACACTTGGCGATCATGCCTACATCAGCGTCAGTCTTGACTCTCCGCCCAACTCCCGCACGCAGCTCATGTTGGAACCGAGCAGCTCAGCACTTGCAGTACAGCCTTCTTACCAGTTCTTCGAGCTTGGAGGTAACCAGACAGCTGTCAGTTTCAGAGTTGCGTGCAGCCGAAGTGAGATGGTTACTCTGAGCTTGCGTTCCCGAGGAGGAATCTATCATGACATCATCGTGACGGATATCGTGAACGTCTCTTGTCTACCTATACCCGACGATCATATCACCTTCTCTGCCAAGACCCTGCTGGGCAGGCTGATGAACGTCAGTATCCAGCTGCCTGCCGACGTCAACCAGCTGATCGGGTTTCAAGTCCAAGCTTCCACAAGCCCGACCTTCACAGTCGTAGGTCTAGACCTGAACCTCTCAAGCACTGAGAGCTCCGTCGTGCTGGGGCCGCTGGTCCTCGGCTCCTGCTACTTCCTCCGAGTGAGGCCGACCCGCTTGCGAGGGCCGGGACAATGGACGGGGAGCGAGAACTGCAGTGACGTAATCGATTATCCATCGCGAGTCTTGAACCTGAGGGTAAGTGCTTGTGCAAGGCCTGCCATGCCTCACAGCCTTTCACAGTTGGAACTGATCTCTGACTACTTGATCCGCGTTGACTGGGACCCTCCAACCAGCAGAGGACAAGTGAACCCTCTCGCGCCACTCAGGTTTGAGGAGCTCGTTTTCTTCATTGTCTATCAAGCTCTGACGACGGAGCGCAGCTACCAGGTTGCTATGTTGGATACTAACGGAACCATTCTCTCCTCAACGTACACTGAGTCGACTACTATCGTACAACAAGTGTATGAGTGAACCTACCATGACATGACCGTCCAGGTGCTGAAGTCGAAGGGACAATCTTCTCTTGAGATCAGAGTCGGAGCCGTGAGCACGTCACCTTGTCACACTGACGGACTTGACGACTGTGATAGATCACCGACCTCTCCCCGACTGTGTATCAGACAGCATCGGTATATGTCACCTTGCTGGCCCAACAAGTCCTCTACAACGTACCCTTGGAGTTGTATCTTTCAGCAACACAGGTCGGTCAGATTGGCTCAAACTCGTACCTGAGCACATAGTTCAGGTCACATCTGCCGTAGCCTCCCTATCTTCTATTGTTGTCACGCCAAGGTCAGCTCCGCAAGTCGATGCGGTAAGGACTATTATAGCTATTGCACCTTATCTAATGTGTCTTGGAAGGTCCTGCAGATTGTCAGCTCAAACCCGGACTCGGTAGAAGCCTTGCTGCCAATCATCATCCTCAAGGCTGGCTCGCTGCTGCCGCAAACCATTCTCCTCCAACACAAGATCAAGGTAGAGAGGTTGGAACTTTGTTCCGTGTGATGATTCTTGCTCAGGGACTGAGTGTGGTCGACGTTGTGCCAGCCGGGGGGAACTACAACTTTCCCAACGGCTCTGCTATTATGGTTCTAACTAATGCATCTCCAGCATAGTGATGATTGCTCAACATAAATCATGTGATGTAAGGTACAAGTTTATGTATAAATCTGTGCAAAATTAAACCTGATGCTAAAAGAACAAATTCATGTGGTTTGAATAGCCTAGATAAAGATAGGGGCTAATTCTTCTTCGCCCGATAACTCTTCAAAGTGATACAACCGAGTAACAACTTGAAACTCTTTGTACCGATGAAAGCAAGCAAGCGGATCATCACGCCTTAATGCAGACCAAAATGAACATCACAGTCTTGCCTTTTTCGAAGAACTTTCATCTGCCGCACCGGGTGATCGGGTTGATTTTTCATCATCTGTGACTTTCTCCTTCGACTCTTCAGAAACCGTAAACCCTACTGCTCCCGCAGAATCATCACTTACGGCCAGCACTGTGTCGCAAGCACCAACCTGCATATCGTCGCCAGGACCTTTCGACGAAGAACTAGCACCAACGAAATTGCTGGTAGATGTCGTTTGCGATTTCTCTGTTTGCTGCTGCATTCCCAACTTGAACTCCTGGCTCTCCGCCAAGATCATCTGGTTGTACCTGTCGTAGTGCACCTTGCGGTTCAAGCTGATCACCTTCCGCACCCTCCTCGCGTTCCTCACAACACGCTCGTACACGTTCCTCACAAACGGCGACTGCGGCACATCTGACTCGACCTTGCTCCCGTCCGCTGACACCAGCCGCAGCCACTGCTCCTCCATCGGCCCGTAGCTCTTCTCCAAGACCATCGCAGGCACCTCAAGAAGCCTCTCCAGCATCTCCCTCGAGTACGCTGACGGCTGGCTGGGCGACAGGCAAGAGGCGATGAGCTCCTTCTCTGCCGCTGACAGCTCGGCCTCGAAGCTCGACGTCGCTGCCTTGACGCGCTCCTCCTTTTCGACAAGCGACGCCTCGAAGCTGTTGAGCGACGTCTTCAAATGCTCCAGCAGCTCCGTCACCTTCGGGTCCTTCTTCGTCGCCATCAGTCGCTGCGACGCCACCGCCAGCATGCACGCCGCCAGCACGTCGAAGTGGAAGTCCGCGTGGTACTTGTGTAGCCTGCTGATGTCCAGCTGCAGGGTCTCCGGGCAAGCGTCGGTCTTGACGGGCTCACTCCCCATGATCAGGCTCAAGACCGCAGCCGTGTGGATCTGCTCGTACGCCGCGCCCTCGCCCTGGACGAGCTTCGACAGGTCTGCCCGGCCCCTCCCTACCTCCTTCTCTACCACCGCCCGGATCCACTCTGGCGTGCGCTGTAGGTAAGCTGGGTTGGCTTTGATCTTCTTGTCCATGTGCGCTCGCTCGTACTCGATCCCGTGGTTCTGAATGACGTGAGCGATGTTCCGTAGCCGGGCGTTGGCCGCGTCTACTCTCATGACGTTCACCCGCCCCAGCACATACTCCAGCGCCTTGCAGAACAGCGTCGGCTGGTCCTCCGGCGTGCTAGCTCGGAGCTCCTCCTCGAGAGCCTTCCAGCCTGCCTGCGTCTCCTGCTTCCGCGAGGGCTCCTGCATCTCCATCGCGATCCCCAGCATCCCCTCGATCAACGACACACACGACGACCAGTCCAGCGCCCCTGACTCGATCTGCTCTTGCCAGTAGGCCGTGTCGATCTTCTCCTTGAGCTCCTTGCTCCGGCTAGGCGATAGGTCGATCATCCCGTCCCTCACCTCCCCTACCACCTTGAGCACTCGCACGTAGCACGGCGGGGTGAGCCTCAGGTCGTCTACCAGGCTGTCCCAGAAAGCCACCTTGAAGCTCTCCCTCACCTTGGACAGCACGGGGTTGTCGAGGTAGCCTGCCCCCTGCTCGTCGAGCTTGAAGGCGGGATCCAGCAGCAGCTCATGCGCCAGCTGCTCGTTGGTCATCCGGCCGGGCAGCGAAGACAGCCCGGACGCATTCGTCGAGGACGGTAGCTCTGCTGGCCTCGAGCTGCTTCCGGCCCCTTGCGAGGAGGACGATGCTGTCTCCTCCGACGGCTCCGCGTCGACCGCAGTGAAGCCTTGCTGTCTTAGCGCCTCGTCGAAGCTCTCCAGCCCCTGGGCTCCTGCGATCTGTAGCATCTTGGCTCGGAGCTTCGCCTTCTGCGCTCGGAACTCCTCCTTCATAGACATGTACTCCTGGGCTTCAGGGCTGAGGTGTGACTCCGCACGGTAGAGGGCGAGAAGCGCATGCTTGATGCGCTCGGTGAGCTTGTGCTCGTCCGGGACTTTCCAGTCCTTGAAGCGAGCGAGGTAGACGTTGAGCTGCTTGAGGAAAGATATCCAGGAGCACCAATCATGCAATGTTACAGGATTAGATTTAGAGCCTTCAATTCTAGCACAGATCTGTTTGAAGGTTTTGACGAGATCAGCAGCAGCATCTTGAACTTGTTTCTCGAGGTGGCCGATGTTCTCAAAACAGCTTGAAGGTCTTGCATCGATCATAAATGCTGCAAGGAAAACCCTGACATTGGGCCTTTCTTGATCAAGGTTCGAATTACCGTCGGAAGGCAACTTGGTTTTAATTTTGGCTCTGGTCGCTAAGTACAGAAACGTTTCTAGAGTTTTCTTCATGCATGCAATCACCCATTTAACTCGTAAACGAGAAGCCACTTCTTCGAAAGGCACATTGAGCATCCATTCAGAAATGATTTTAGTTCGCTGTACCCTGGATACTTGACATCTGAGAGAATTCTGATACGCATGAGTTCTAAAGAAACGAATAAGTAGGAAACTTGCTGATTGTGCATCAAGATTCAAATTTTGAACTTGTTTTTTCCTTTTGTACAAGTTTGTACAACATCGCCAGTAGTACTCTGGGTCGTGAGCTGTTAAATCCTCATCGGTTTGGTTCGCGATTTCTTCATCATTGTCCAAGACTATTGCTTCTGTATCTTCATGAAATTCGGATAGACCCAATTCATTCTTATGTAGCGCTTTGAAATACTCTAGAATGCGATCGCCTTTTGCAAGGAAGTTTGAGCAATGCTGAATTCTGTTATTGAAGTAACGTGCGAAAGCAAGATTCCCAGACAAGGGTTTGCCAAAAGTGATGCAAGTCAAGTTCTGCTGAGATAAGCAGGACTGAACTGCATGAAGCATTATCAATTGTGAAATCAAGCCTCCTAAAGAATATCCGGTGAAATATATTTCATTATCTCCTTGTCTTTCCTTCAAAAAATGGACAAGTTCCTTATGTACATTGCTACTGACAAATTTCTGTACATCGTCTACAATGGAAGAGTGAATACATACATTCGGGGGAACATCACTCCAAATCGAATCTACTTCATGCAGGGGAGAGAGAGAGCATTTCTCGATCCGGATTAACTCAGCATCATGTCGAAGGTGAAATGCTACAATGTAACTTTGCCCAGAACGGAATGCTGCAATCTTTATGTTTTCAGTTTCCCAGGTTTCAACCGTCTCAGCAGGAATTTCACTGAACTTCGTTGAATCCCAAACATGCAGTGCAGAAGATCCACATATGGCGATGATCTTGAAAGTATACATCTTACTTACAAGTTAGTCACACAGATTTGGCTCTCAATCGTCGCAATTTCGTCCTAAGTTATCGATCATTCTCTCGATCTATTCTATTGCAGATTCCCTGTCATCGCTTTCCTCTTCATTATTCGCGCTCCTTGATCAAACACATCCCACAACATGCCGTTCAAATCAATCACTACTGTGATTTCCTTGCAATGCACTTCAAAATTCAAATCGTGCAGTGGAAACTTCTAAATCCCCGAGAGCGGAAGAATGAAAGTAGGGGAAATGTTTCGATGAAATTCCAAAGTTCAAGGAGCATAAATCAATATGAGAATTGCCTTTCTCAAATTTTCAGTTGACCGTGAAGTTCGTGGCTTTTTTTTTTTTTTTTTTGCACAGAACTTTCTGTGGCTGTTTCACAGTCAGATGCCAGCGAGGCCGGCTCGGCTCAAAGAATAGTTAAGTAATCAGAAAATTCAAGTTGAGAGCCTGGAGAAGTGCTCAGGCCGCCACGGAAGAACAAAGTCTCCGAGTGCTCTCACGATGTTGATATCGTGATATGCTTTGTTAAAAAGAAAGCACTGTGCTACTTTTGTCGTTCATGCACCTTTCATTGCAATTTCAAGAGTGCAACGATTTTTTGCCGGAATGATTGATATTGTCCGTTTAGTGAAGCTCTGCTATAGTTGACGGTCTCCACTGGGCCACGTTACACTTTCGAATTCAAATCCCTCCACACCTTTTCACATTATTACATAGGTTCAAGTGTGTTCCGAATGTTTACACCCCTTAGTTCACTGCTAAAATACAAAATACAAGACGTTTCTTGCAGTTCTTCGTGTGCAATACTGCCGGGTCAACAGAGCGTAACTTGGGTATCTTCTTCGTTCCATTTCTACAGAACCACAAGTTCCATGCCTGCATCATGCTCCCAAGTTCATCCGGCAGGAAAGCATTAGTGGGAAAAGAACCTCGAAACTCTCCCTCTCGTAGCACCTCTCGAAGGTACTCTCCGATGAACTCCTTGTGCATGGATGTATTCTCGTTGACTACTTGCATGTTATTCTGACCTGCTGCAATCATTGAATCCTGTCTGGGTTCTCTCTGAAATGAATCATTTCAGCCTACATTTCAGCCAGTGATCCCTCATTCGCGCGACCACGACCCTCGCGTCGTTGGATACTGCATCAGGCTGTTGACTGCTACCGAGCGCAATTATGACACGACGGACAGGGAACTCCTTGCTATCAAGGATACGCTTCTTTCTTTTCGTTTGTATGCACAGAATTCCCGAAGAGGCTGCATCGGCTTCTCAAAGGGGAGGAACCGGCTCATTCACTCGCAAAAAGCAATACATCACGTTGATAACGACATGTAGATCCTAGACTACTCTTCACTGTATTTAATGATCTCTCCATCCGTTAGCATGCACTTGCATTTCCCTTCCCCATCGACCAGCAGGACATCCAGGTTTTCCACGAGCTTGCATTCTTGTAGTTTTGAGATCACGATCGCAAGCGCTTCTGCAAGCGGCGGATCCCCTCCAACCACATACCCTCTGTAAATCTTACCTGATACGTGCGGTCTGGGTAAAGGTTTTGAGATCTCGTGCATGAGGTTTTCCAGTTCTTTCCCAACTAGTTCTTCCTTCCCTGCGAAGCCAACGTCTCGCAGCTTCTTACAGACTTTTCTGCCATACTCACTCAATGTCTTCGTGTCCGCCGTCAACAAATGCTCATCCACAAACATCTCCAAAGCTTTCGTGAGAGACATGCCGCTGCTGGACAGGGCGAACTCAATCAGAGCTCGGTTGTTGGGTATGACCTTGAACCGCGATAATTCTCGGAGAGTTTCAATCTTCTGTTGCTGCAATTGCTTGTAGAGTCTCTCCTTGTCGGCCTTGATCTCTTTCAGCTGCATCTCCTTGTCGGCCTTGATCTCTTTCAGCTGCATCTCCTTGTCGGCCTTGATCTCTTTCAGCTGCATCTCCTTGTCGGCCTTGATCACTTTCAGCTGCATCTCCTTGTCGGCAATGATTTTCTCCTTGTCGGCAATGAGTCTCTCCTTGTCGGCCTTGACTTCTTCTTCAAACTGTTTCTTCATCTCATCCAGGCATAGCTCAATGCGACGAAGTCTGCTTGACTGCCACGGCCACCCTGACCAGCTTGCCGATCCTGTTGGGGACATGCTGAGGGGTCTTGGCAGCGTGATCTGCCGTAGCCTCTCCCGACCAACACTGTAGAGCAGCTGCTTATCTCCTCCTAGTCTTCCTTGTCTTCTCTGCATGCTCAGGCTGAAAACTCTCCTCAACATTTTCAGAAATACCATGTGTCGTGATGGGTGAAATAGATTTCTTGCGACATGAATGGCAGCAAGAGGGATTGGATGCAGGAGAGATTTGGCAGGAGGAATACATGGCTTCGAACCAGGTCAGTAGAGAAGTTTCAAATACCCGATGTTATTCACCGAGTTTGAATCACCTGACACAGATCCCGAGACAAACTGATTCCGTGTCATGTGGCATATTTCTGTGCGGAATAGCTGACTGCCTGTCTGGAAACATGGCGGTGAATTCATTTGGCCAAGGGGACATAGACGAGATCCGGCAAGCGATGGAAAGGTTGTTGACAAAGGTGTATTTACCAGCGGAAGAAGTAAACGTGGAGTGATGGATGCCTTAAAACGAGGAGTTTGCAAAGTCCAGACTAGCATTGCAAGGTAGGGTAAAGGTACTTCGAAGATAAACACACGTGGACGAGTGTTGGGGACAGAAGGATAGTAGTTGCCATCACAGCGTTCACCATCGTGAAACCAACAACCTGCCGACAACGTGCAATGGGCATAACAGGTAGTAGAGGATCTCAATGGGAGTAGCCCTGACAAGTAAGAGATGGTCTGATGAACTGATATAGATAACTGCAGAGCTTGCCGCAGTGCCCCAGAATGTACGACACTGAACAGTGTTAGCAGCATTGGTGTGCGAATGACATACTCCGCGACGATGTGGGATGAGTGAACGAGGGAGGAGTGGTGATGTAGCACCCCTCCTAGGTATAGTATGTCAGGGTGCCAGAAGGGGGTACTGTAGACTTTCCAACAAAGTGATGAAGTACCCCTCATGGGTATAGGATGTCAGGCTGCCACAAGGGGGTACTGTAGACTTTCCAAGAAAGTGATGAGGTACCCCTCCTATGTATAGCTGCCAGGAGGGGGTACTGTAGTCTGTTGGGGGTATGACGACCACCCCTGTGACAACCGATGTTCTCCGACAAAGGAGGGTGGGGGGTGGTGGATTGAGGAGAGGTGAGGGTAATCGGGGGGTAGTGAGAGGGAAGTGGTGGGGTAGTCGAATACAAGAATACTTTTTGTACCGTAATGATAAAAAGGTTGTTGACAATTATTAATTAGTACCAGATAGTACCCACCCCCTAGATGTACTTGCCTTGTTTGGACCGGTGAAGGCAGAGGAGAATATGCTTTAAAATAGATAAGATTTTAATCTGTAACCCATGATTTTGGGCTCTTTTCTGTCGAATACCCCATCAGATTGGATTAGAGCAACTAGGGGTTTTATAGAGCCTATAAAACTTTTTATAGACAGGTGCCGTAAGCACCGGTACCTGATTCTAGTGGTAGTGTGGGAAAAACGAATATATATATATATATATATATATATATATATATATACTTTTTAAAACTGCCCGTTTTCTACCGTTATGCGGATATGTAACGGTCTTAGCAAGTTCCTGGCTAAACCTGACTACCCCCCAATGGGTACTCTCCCTGAGTTCGTGGAAAAAATTGGAATTGGGTCGGGGTGAGTGCATGGCTATCTGACCCGGTACTTCATTTATTCCAGGTCTGGATAATGTGGGGGTTATCCACGATGGGCCACAGGGTGAGGGGGTGAGGTGGTGAGGGGGTGAGGGGGTGGGGGGTGCTGAGGAGGGGTAGGGGTGACCGGAGCTATAAAAGCTGATCGGTTTCACAACCTTGCTCGTTCTTCCCTCACATCCATCTTCACTCCCTCCTTGCACCTCTCCTGCCACTCAAAACCACCTCCACACCTCCTCAGCTGCCTCCTCAGCTCTACTCCCACAGCCTCGCATACTTCTGCATAGAACCTCCTCGTTCTTTCATTGTATTCTCCCCACGATTCCCCCTCCCTTGTTCCCCAGAATCCTTTCCCAAGTGCAAAACCTTTCCCAAAACATGCCCTCTATCACTCATTCAAATTCATACAACATCCACAGAAGTGATATCAAAGATCAGGATGTTTCTTGTAGAAAAAGAAAAGAATCCTCGATAGTTTTCTCCGATACAGATCTCCAACAGTACGTTCCTGACATTCAAAGTATAAAGCGACAACGATACCCGAATGGTTGCACTAACGAGTCAAACAAGATTGAGATCTGTGAACTTCCTTGCACGCAAATTCATCGGGCTGGTGAGCCACTCCTCATGCAAAGAAGAGCGTCTGCAAAAATCATTTTACGCTTTTTTCAATACAATGCCTGTAAGAAATCGCTGAAACGGCTAGTTGCAGCGTTGCAGCGAACTCAACTTGTTCAAACGTGGCCTTCAGATGTAATTTTTCAAGCTATGGTGAATCGCTCTCAGAAGAAGTGGGTTGTCAGAGACTTCAGACATCTAATAACAAGCATTATCTTCCTCATCCAGCGCGCTATTGTCAAGCGAGGCCTCCCACTGGACAAGGACGAGACGGTAGAGCAGTTCAACGTCCGAGTCCTCATGGCCGCCTTTCTCGTCGTCAACCGACCCGGCAGCTGCTTCGAGAGCATCGGCCACCTCGAGAAACAAGTGCAGCATGCCGCCGCCGACCTCGTCACAAGCATTAGACAAATATGCGCTGGAATTGAAAACTCTCGCGCTCAGCCTCTCACACAGCATGATTGGAGCTCGTGGAGGCCCTTCCTCAAGCAGCTCAACGTCTACCTCGCTCGCTTCAAGGACTGGAAAGTCCCGGACGAGCACAAGCTCACCGAGCGCATCAAGCATGCGCTTCTCGCCCTCTACCGTGCGGAGTCACACCTCAGCCCTGACGCCCAGGAGTACATGTCTGTGAAGGAGGAGTTCCGAGCGCAGAAGGCGAAGCTCCGAGCCAAGATGCTACAGATCGCAGGAGCCCAGGGGCTGGAGAGCTTCGACGAGGCGCTAAGGCAGCAAGGCTTCACTGCGGTCGACGCGGAGCCGTCGGAGGAGACAGCTTCGTCCTCCTCGCAAGGGGCCGGGAGCAGCTCGAGGCCAGCAGAGCTACCGTCCTCGACGAATGCGTCCGGGCTGTCTTCGCTGCCCGGCCGGATGACCAACGAGCAGCTGGCGCATGAGCTGCTGCTGGATCCCGCCTTCAAGCTCGACGAGCAGGGGGCAGGCTACCTCGACAACCCCGTGCTGTCCAAGGTGAGGGAGAGCTTCAAGGTGGCTTTCTGGGACAGCCTGGTAGACGACCTGAGGCTCACCCCGCCGTGCTACGTGCGAGTGCTCAAGGTGGTAGGGGAGGTGAGGGACGGGATGATCGACCTATCGCCTAGCCGGAGCAAGGAGCTCAAGGAGAAGATCGACACGGCCTACTGGCAAGAGCAGATCGAGTCAGGGGCGCTGGACTGGTCGTCGTGTGTGTCGTTGATCGAGGGGATGCTGGGGATTGCAATGGAGATGCAGGAGCCCTCGCGGAAGCAGGAGACGCAGGCAGGCTGGAAGGCTCTCGAGGAGGAGCTCCGAGCTGGCACGCCAGAGGACCAGCCGACGCTGTTCTGCAAGGCGCTGGAGTATGTGCTGGGGCGGGTGAACGTCATGAGAGTAGACGCGGCCAACGCCCGGCTACGGAACATCGCTCACGTCATTCAGAACCACGGGATCGAGTACGAGCGAGCGCACATGGACAAGAAGATTAAAGCCAACCCAGCCTACCTCCAGCGCACGCCAGAGTGGATCCGGGCGGTGGTAGAGAAGGAGGTAGGGAGGGGCCGGGCAGTCCTGTCGAAGCTCGTGCAGGGCGAGGGCGCGGCGTACGAGCAGATCCACACGGCTGCGGTCTTGAGCCTGATCATGGGGAGTGAGCCCGTCAAGACCGACGCTTGCCCAGAGACCCTGCAGCTGGACATCAGCAGGCTACGCAAGTACCACGCGGACTTCCACTTCGACGTGCTGGCGGCGTGCATGCTAGCGGTGGCGTCGCAGCGACTGATGGCGACGAAGAAGGACCCGAAGGTGACGGAGCTGCTGGAGCACTTGAAGACGTCGCTCAACAGCTTCGAGGCGTCGCTTGTCGACAAGGAGGAGCGTGTCAAGGCAGCGACGTCGAGCTTCGAGGCCGAGCTGTCAGCGGCAGAGAAGGAGGTCATCGCCTCTTGCCTGTCGCCCAGCCAGCCGTCAGCGTACTCGAGGGAGATGCTGGAGAGGCTTCTTGCGGTGCCTGCGATGGTCTTGGAGAAGAGCTACGGGCCGATGGAGGAGCAGTGGCTGCGGCTGGTGTCAGCGGACGGGAGCAAGGTCGAGTCGGGTGTGCCGCAGTCGCCGTTTGTGAGGAACGTGTACGAGCGTGTTGTGAGGAATGCGAGGAGGGTGCGGAAGGTGATCAGCTTGAACCGCAAGGTGCACTACGACAGGTACAACCAGATGATCTTGGCGGAGAGCCAGGAGTTGATGGAGAGGAGGCAGGAGGATTTATTGTAGATATGTCGATACAAAGTTATGCTTGTTGAATGTAAGGAGTCAGTGTAATTGAATGAAGTTTCTCAATCGCTATAGCTCTTCACTCGGGTCGTGGCTTTATCCTGAACTTCAAGGCCCCCCAGTAACTTCAATCTCCATGCTTCAAGGCTTCAGGCCGCCTGTCCTGCGAAGCCGCAGTGTTTCTTCAACTGGCAACATCGGATTGAGCAAGGGCCACTGCCAACGGTGCTGAGTCTGACTCATTGAGGCCGGGGCCGGGCACGTCTGGTAGGGCCCGGCCCGGGCTTACGCGCCCCGGACCCGGCCCGTGACTCCGCCGCGGGGCCGGGCGGGGGGATCACTTGAACAAACTGGGTCCAATCTTTACTCAAAGTTAAGTTAAAAATCAGTACGAGGACAATCAGGAGAGTCGAAGAGGCTTGACCCTGACATTGTCGCACAGGCCAAACGGCGAGAAGAGAATGACAGCGAGAACCAAACCCAATCCTGCCGACTGCTGTCTCCCAAACTTAACTGATACCTTCACTTAACGCCATGCCAGCGATGTCGCGGTGGCCGCCGCCGAAGGAATGAGACGCATACCGGGACTCCCGGATGCACCCGCGATGATGGCAGCGTAGGACAGGGAGGCCTTGAGCTGACGAACCAATCCTGCCAACTTGAACCGTGAACGCCAGTGACCCGGACCGCAGTGAAAGACCACGGTGAGCCGGTGACTCACGGCCCGGCCCGGCCGGACTCCAACCGAGTAAGGTATAGGCTCTGTATAGGCTCCCGGTGATGAGGGATGGGCAGGATGAGGCGCAATGGAACTTTGATGGTGTGCCTGCTTCATGGCCTCGCGCTTCAGTCGCTGGGGTTTCAACTGCCTTCAAGCCTGATGGCTGAGAAGATGCTGGCTGCTGCCGCTCGAGCTCTCTCCTCTCCCCTGCCTCCTCCGGGAGGATCATGGAAGCCCATACCTCGACTGCATCGAACCTCGAGGATACGACTCGGGCAGGGACTGACGAGCCAAGGGGACGAGGAGATGGAGAAGTTCCTTTCGATGGCAGAAACGCTGCTGAGGCAGAACGACGATGAACTTGACTCGCTCTCGTTCGGCAGGAAGTGGAGAGCGATGTTCCCAGGCAAGGATCTCGATTCGTTCACGAGAGAGAGGCGGGCGACGGTCGCCCAGTTGCTCTCATCATCTGATCGTTTCAGCGTCTCCAAGAAGCCTAACTCTGCTGCAAAGATATTTCGACTGAAGGACTCACAGAGGTCAAAGACGGTCGAAAAGAAAGATAGCACCAGAGGGTATGCCTTCTCGGTTGTGAAGACGTTGGACGTGCCCACGGGAGGGGGCCTCGGCGAATCGGAGTTCAATGCAACCAGGCCGAAGAGTTCAGCTTTCAGGGCGAGCGAGAGTGCGTTGAAGCTGATGGATGCTTGGTCCCAAGCAGCGACGAGTGCGAATTCATCAACTCAAGCTGAGAAGGAAGAGAGAAGTCTGAACCTGATGAAACAAGTTGGTAATGTGACCTCAGTCCAGTTTTACAACAGAATGATCAGGCAATACGTTGAGTCTGTTTCCGAAGGAGACAAGATGGCTCTCTTTAAGGCTCTTGATGCCTTGGCTGAAATGCGTCGTAAAAACCTTGAAGTGAATCTTTTGACAATCAACTCCGTCCTAACAGTGTGCAAGAAAGCTGCAGGCACAGATCAAATGGAAGAAGCTGTAAACGCTGCTTTTGATATCTTTGAAGACATGAAATCCATGAAATTGCCACCTGACCTCGTCACCTTCAATCTACTCTTGGAAACATGCTCAAATGCCATTGAATGCGGATATGCCGAATGCTTTGACAAAGCATCGAGCGTTTTTGATAAGATGCAAGAATATCAAATCAAGCCAAACGTAGCCAGCTATAACATGTTGTTATTCTCTTGCTCGAGAGCTGCCCGGGACAGTGGTCCAATGATCATTAGCAAGTGCTTTCACATTCTGGATCTGATGGAGGAGGACGGACTGCTGCCGGACACGTCAGTGTTCAACGCCATGATCGATGCTTGTGCAAAATCAGCGACAGGAAACGATGGGGTAAGCGTTGGGCTGCAGATATTGGAGAGGATGTCTGCAAACAGGATCGAGCCTGATGTTATCACATACAACTCACTCATCAACGTTTGTGCGATGTCTGCTGCCGACGGCGACACCAACGCCTTTGCGAATGCCCAGGAAATTCTCTACATGATGCTGAAGAATGGAGTCAGGTAGGCCTCTCCATCCCTTGCTAGGATAGTATTAACCACTCCAAGATATCCGCCTGATTGTTGCTCAATCAATGGTCGTTTTTTCGCTTTGACTCCTTTGCATAGGCCCAACGTTGTTACATTCAATTCTCTTGCTACTATCATTGTTCGTGCAGTCCAGGCGGGTGAAATCACAGACCCAGGAGCTGCCGCCTCTCAAGGGCAGCAAGTACAACATGTAAACGACTTGACGGTGATTGATGTCCTTGGCAGGTGATAGACATGATGATTCAAGCGGGAGTTCAGCCGAATGTGATCACTTACAATGCGATCTTGTCGGCTGTCGTTCGTGCCAAGTCTGGAGACCCAGGGCAGTCTCAAGAGGAAATCATGAATGTGAGCAACAGAAGCAGCTAAGATCTGGATGGATCGATGTGACATTCATGGCCAGATTATCACTAAGATGTCATTGACTGGCATTCTACCGAATGCTGTCACCTTTCAAATGATAATGGAGGTTTTCTAGCTCATTGAATTTGCTATGCGTCTTATTCCACCACAGGATTTGGCAAAGTTTGGAGACTCGACGGAGTCCCAACGTGTTCTTGGAGCTTTACAGCTCCTTCAGGTGCTCTCAGCCCTTACGAGTTTGTTTAGGATAGGTGAAGTTCGTGTTCAAAGGTTAGGAAGTCCGGCGATGACTCGATCTTCAACTACGTCGTGGACATGTCAGGTGCAGACTTGCGTGCATCCATTTCTAACGCCATGTCTTCAGATGCCAAAGGAGCGAAGAGCGAGTCAAACTCCTAATCCCCATTATCAAGTGCTCAGGCAGAGATGCCCAAACGCCAGCCCTGATTCGAAGATAGGTACCTTACTGAGAATGACATGGTTCCGAACGTCTTCACCTTCAACGCCTTGTTGTCGAGGTGCAAGTCTTTCGGTCAGCCTGCTCTTTTGTCTGCCTTGCAGGACGTGATGGCGAACAGGTGGGGACGGGCTAAAAGAAGCTATTCTCCTTGTAGAGACGATGAGACAGCACGATGTCAAGATCAACGACAGGACGTTCGCTCTCGTCCAGGAGGTCCGCAAGGTGCCCCCGTCACAAGTCTCCAGTGCTCGCTCTCCGTGACAGGCTGCAGGCACACGAGGAGGACCCGGAGCTACGTGGAGTGCAGGCATGGGACTTGTTCTCGGTGCGGCCCGTCTCTCGAGGGCTCCGGCTCTGACGCGCGTGTGGTTGCAGGAAGAATTGATCGAGCACAACCGGCAAAAGGAGGCGAGGATCAAGTTGGTGTAAGTCGTTTTTCTCCTACTTGCTCTACCCCCTCCTGATCCTCCCTTCAGCCCCATCGACTGCACTTTGGAGGACATGGTCAACATGAAAGGGAACTGGGTGCCTTTTTATGAGGTCGACGACTTCGAACCACCCGGAGAGGAACGATAGGGCAGTTCACCGCCTTCTCCTGGGCCTCAGTTGGGGGAGTTTGACGACTTGTACCCAGCCGTTATCGGACGTCTGGAGATGTGAAGCAACTTCACGTCAAAGTGTAGTGTAGCCTTAGGAGGGATAGAGCCCGGGTACCTGCGCACGCAAGGGCAGCAGCGTCAGTTCAAGTCACAAGGGAACACAGCGATACCCCTGGTCTCCGTAAGCCAGGGAAGGAGGAATCGTTAGCCTGCGGGGACAGTCAGGGGTCCACAACGAGCCCTCAGTGCCGTACTTGCGCTCTCCTCCTACTCTCATGCCCTGCAGGCCGATGTCGTCGCCTTTGATGACCTTGATGGATGTGTCAAGCCCGCCGGCTCCACCATAATCATATCACCTGCCCTTCTCGGAACATGAAGACATACTTTCCTTGATCAAACACAGATCTTGTGTAACATAAAGTCAATCAACTTGCTGTGCTTAATCAAGTGTCATTACCCATCTTGCAGTTTTCCAACGTATCCGATCGTTGCCGTGTCTCCGGGTTCGAGCTGTTCTCCACTACCAACCTTCACATCCTTCACCTGTCCTGACAATCATCGCACAAGAACAGCAAGAAGGCGCGAGTTCCTGCAGGCCTAGATCCATTCTAGCCTGCGCTAGACTGAGAGCGAGCTCGGGAGCATGGCCAGGCATTCTCCCCCATTACCTGTGTGAGGGCGTAAGAGGAGGAGGAGGAGGAGGAGGAGGAGGAGGAGGAGAAGGATGAGGAGGAGCACTACCAGCAATCGTTCATGCAGTCGAAACCTCCACTAGGCGACGACACAGTCTTGAGGTAGCACACGCCCTTCGCAGGATGGTACGTGTACCCCCTACAAGCTTCATGCTGCGAACACGCTTGCTTGCATGCAACGCCTAACAACCACGTCATGCGTCGACATCGGCCTCGTACATCTCACCGAGCTTCTGTTTGTCGTTCACGAACTTCCCGTCGAAGTCGAACGGGTTGTGGAGCAAGTCGTTACCTGGAGGCTAAGGGGTAGTGCTCTTCGTCTCGGAGGTAGGTAGTCTCCGCATAAATATCGCATTTTTGTATGTATATAAATATAACGGGTGTTTCGTTTTCCCCACAGTAGGCTATAAGTAGAGCTATGGGATCTAGTAGGATTCGAAGTAGGTTCAATACTTCTCCTTTAGTTTTCTGTCAATGATTACTGTGAAGTCAACATCTCTACTTCTGTTGCTCTCTAGTTTGTTGCTCTCTATCTGAAAATGTTGAGGAGAGGTTTGAGTCTGAGCATGCAGACAAGAAAAGGAAGACTAGGAGGAGATAAGCAGCTGCTCTACAGTGTTGGTCGGGAGAGGCCACGGCAGATCACGCTGCCAAGACCCCTCAGCATGTCCCCAACAGGATCAGCAAGCTGGTGGCCGTGGCAGTCAAGCAAAAGGCTTGACCGCATGGAGCGACACCTGGATGACATGAAGAAAGGGATCGAAGATCTCAAGACCGAAATGCTGAAAGATCTCAGGACCCACATGGATACACTCATTGCAGACAAGGACGCGCGGCTGAAAGATCTCAGGACCGACATGGATACACTCATTGCAGACAAGGACGCCCACAAGGATACACTCATTGCATACAAGGACGCGCGGCTGAAAGATCTCAGGACCCACATGGATACACTCATTGCAGACAAGGACGCCCACAAGGATACACTCATTGCATACAAGGACGCGCGGCTGAAAGATCTCAGGACCCACATGGATACACTCATTGCAGACAAGGACGCCCACAAGGATACACTCATTGCATACAAGGACGCGCGGCTGAAAGATCTCAGGACCCACATGGATACACTCATTGCAGACAAGGACGCCCACAAGGATACACTCATTGCATACAAGGACGCGCGGCTGCAAGATCTCAGGACCCACATGGATACACTCATTGCATACAAGGACGCGCGGCTGCAAGATCTCAGGACCGACAAGGAGAGACTCCACGACCAATTGCAGCAACAGAAGATTGAAACTCTCCGAGAATTATCGCGGTTCAAGGTCATACCCAACAACCGAGCTCTGATTGAGATGGCCATTGAACGGTACAGCAGGGGCTGTATGTCTCTCACGAAAAGTGTGAAGATGTTTGTGGATGAGCATTTGTTGACGGCAGACACGAAGACATTGAGTGAGTATGGCAGAAAAGTCTGTAAGAAGCTGCGAGACGTTGGCTTCGCAGGGAAGGAAGAACTTGTTGGGAAAGAACTGGAAAACCTCATGCACGAGATCTCAAAACCTTTACCCAGACCGCCCATATCAGGTATTTACAGAGGGTATGTGGTTGGAGGGGATTCGCCGCTTGCAGAAGCGCTTGCGATCGTGATCTCAAGACTACAAGAATGCAATCTCGTGGAAAACCTGGATGTCCTGCTGGTCGATGGGGAAGGGAAATGCAAGTGCATGCTAACGGATGGAGAGATCATTAAATACAGTGAAGAGTAGTCTAGGATCTACATGTCGTCATCAACGTGATGTATTGCTTTTTGCGAGTGAATGAGCCGGTTCCTCCCCTTTGAGAAGCCGATGCAGCCTCTTCGGGAATTCTGTGCATACAAACGAAAAGAAAGAAGCGTATCCTTGATAGCAAGGAGTTTCCTGTCCGTCGTGTCATAATTGCGCTCGGTAGCAGTCAACAGCCTGCTGCAGTATCCAACGACGCGAGGGTCGTGGTCGCGCGAATGTGGGATCACTGGCTGAAATGTAGGCTGAAATGATTCATTTCAGAGAGAACCCAGACAGGATTCAATGATTGCAGCAGGTCAGAATAACATGCAAGTAGTCAACGAGAATACATCCATGCACAAGGAGTTCATCGGAGAGTACCTTCGAGAGGTGCTACGAGAGGGAGAGTTTCGAGGTTCTTTTCCCACTAATGCTTTCCTGCCGGATGAACTTGGGAGCATGATGCAGGCATGGAACTTATGGAACGAAGAAGATACCCAAGTTACGCTCTGTTGACCCGGCAGTATTGCACACGAAGAACCGCAAGAAACGTCTTGTATTTTGTATTTTAGCGGTGAATTAAAGGGTGTAAACGGAATTCAAAAGTGTAACGTTGAGACCAACTATAGCAGAGCTTCACCTTGCTTTGTTAAAAAGAAAGCATGCTACTTTTGTCGTTCATGCACCTTTCATTTTGCAACTTCAAGAGTGCAACGATTTTTTGCCGGAGTGATTGATATTGTCCGTTCAGTGGAATTCGCTTGTGTTAGAAGAGTCATGACATGATATAACTCATGAGGATTCATAAAAAGAATATCAAGTGCCTTTTTATAAGCTCGACGACTTCGAACCACCCGGAGATGAATGATAGGGCAGGTCACCGCCTTCTCCTGGGCCTCAGTTGGGGGAGTTTGACGACTTGTACCCAGCCGTTATCGGACGTTTGGAGATGTGAAGCAACTTCACATCGAAGTGTAGTGTAGCCTTAGGAGGGATAGAGCCCGGGTACCTGCGCACGCAAGGGCAGCAGCGTCAGTTCAAGTCACAAGGGAACACAACGATACCCCTGGTCTCCGTAAGCAAGGGAAGGAGGAATCGTTAGCCTGCGGGGACAGTCAGGGGTCCACAACGAGCCCTCAGTGCCGTACTTGCGCTCTCCTCCTACTCTCATGCCCTGCAGGCCGATGTCGTCGCCTTTGATGACCTTGATGGATGTGTCAAGCCCGCCGGCTCCACCATAATCATATCACCTGCCCTTCTCGGAACATGAAGACATACTTTCCTTGATCAAACACAGATCTTGTGTAACATAAAGTCAATCAACTTGCTGTGCTTAATCAAGTGTTATTACCCATCTTGCAGTTTTCCAACGTATCCGATCGTTGCCGTGTCTCCGGGTTTGAGCTGTTCTCCACTACCGACCTTCACATCCTTCACCTGTCCTGACAATCATCGCACAAGAACAGCAAGAAGGCGCGAGTTCCTGCAGGCCTAGATCCATTCTAGCCTGCGCTAGACTGAGAGCGAGCTCGGGAGCATGGCCAGGCATTCTCCCCCAGTACCTGTGTGAGGGCGTAAGAGGAGGAGGATGAGGAGGAGGAGGAGGAGAAGGATGAGGAGGAGCACTACCAGCAATCGTTCATGCAGTCGAAACCTCCACTAGGCGACGACACAGTCTTGAGGTAGCACACGCCCTTCGCAGGATGGTACGTGTACCCCCTACAAGCTTCATGCTGCGAACACGCTTGCTTGCATGCAACGCCTAACAACCTCGTCATGCGTCGACATCGGCCTCGTACATCTCACCGAGCTTCTGTTTGTCGTTCACGAACTTCCCGTCGAAGTCGAACGGGTTGTGGAGCAAGTCGTTACCTGGAGGCAGGTACCCCTTGTTCCACTCCCCCGCCTCAACCAGTTTTGCACGGAGCTTGTGATAAGCTCGTTCAGTGGCCTCGTGCGCTGCCTGCGTTGCTAAAGCAGGAAGTTCAGTGTCGTATGCAGCAGGAACTTGCTTTAGGATTTCTCTTCCGTATCCTCCGTTCTTATTCAGCATTCGACTCCGTACGTTCTGCTCGATCTGGCTCTCCTCCCTCTGACTGGAAAGAGTCTGCATCCAAGATGTAAAGCCGGATTTGTGCTGCGGAGCTTTGCTCTTGCCGAACTTGTCTCCCTCACGAGATAGCGCATTGTAGACTTCCTCTTGCGCCAACAGTGTCGCCATAGCCGAAAGCTTTCTCCTGCACTCTCACTTCAAGGGGCTACAGGCTTGCCCATTGGACCTACCTCACACTCTTGGGAGGTGTCTTCTTCACCCTTGCGACTCGGTCAGCCATCGAAGGGCTCACCGCCAAACTCTCCTCCAGAAGCGAGGACGATGAGCTGGCATTCTTCTGGGTGATGGGGGCTACAACATTCCAAACAACAACCCTGCAAAGTGTGGTAAGGAGAAAAGCACTCTTGCCAGGCACTTTACAATGTGAGAAGGAAAGAGATGGCGACGAACGATGGTTTTGAAAGCATCTGCGCAAGGGATCAGAACATTGCGATGGTCTAAGGTTGACATGGTACGATGTGGAATGTATCTCGACTGGCACATGCTCACGACCGTGTACCAAAAAGACAAGAGAGCTTGTAGTGCTACCAACAGCATCCTCCTCCTCCTCCTCCTCCTCCTCCTGCTACCAACAGCATCCTGCTGCTGCTGCTCCTTCTGCTGCTGCTCCTTCTGCTGCTGCTCCTTCTGCTGCTGCTCATTCTGCTGCTGCTCCTGCTCCGCCATGTCATCTCAATATCTCGTAGGGGCAAGGTGCATGATCGAAATCGATTAAATACTCCCGATTTCACCACTTGATCACTGTAAATCGATTCAAATCTATATCCTCAGTACAAAGTGCGGATCAGACCAATAAAATTCAATCATCGGGAAGGTTTAGTTCGATTCAATTGCATCAAACCGATTCGAATCAACGCCCGTTCAGGCCATGGCAGAATGCTGAACAGTAGGGCGGGCGCTGCGATCGCGGCATGCGGGGTCGCCATGCTGCTCCTCGTTGGCTTGAGGGCTGGAGAGGATCAACCGACAGCTCTGGTCGCCGACAGGGCGAGCCTGAGGGACCTGGTCTCTTGCCATGTCGATGGCTCGAGCAGCTGGGGCCTGACGCACTACCCAGGTTCGGCGGGGCAATGATGCGCAGGATATGCTCGACCATTCGGTCATTGCGTATCCCAAGGGGAAGTATGTCGACACTTCGCTATGGCGAGACGTTCAGCTCGGCTGTGCTCAGCAGCCTGTTGCCACCACGATCATGTCAGAGGATGGTTTCTTGCACTCACTGTCGCACTCATTTCCTCTTGGCTAGCTCCTCACCATGCGCGCCGACGGGAGAGGGAGAAGTTGAAACGTACAGTCCTGAGACGTAAGATCTTTTCGGCAGTCTTGTGTGCTCTGATCTCACTGCAGGACTACCACAACGACCAGCACAGCAGGTTTTCTAGACCCGTGGAGCCTCCGACAGGCTCGTTTAGAAGCCACGTGCGCAACGACAGGAGGAGGGAGAGGAGGCTGGACCTGATGATGTTGTGCAGCGCGAAAGAAGTTCGGCATGTCGATGTTGAAACGCATCTGCAAAGGGATCTCGAACGACAGATGAACAAAGTGAAAAATTTCCGATCCTCCTCCTCCCTCCTCATTCCGTTCCCGCGCAGATCCATCTGCTGAAGCTGGCGTTGAAGTCCAAGGTCTTGCGCTTCCAAGTGTCTCCGTCCCTGCTCACTTCGTCTGTCCAGATCAAAACTCTGCAGAAGAGTGTTCACCAGGCTCCAAAGGACGACGACGACGACCCTCTTTGGTAATCCCGTTCCATCCAGATCGTTGATCTGACAGTCGAGCAGGAAAGGCGTCGACCTGCACCTGACCCAAGCAGATCTGACCCCTCCGACTGATGAGCAGCGGCAGGCGAGTCCTGGACATGTGCAGGTCACGGCGATGATAGTGTGAGCAGGAGGAGGAGGAGCGATGGAACCAGCGCGCAGCGACAAACCGCGAGTGGAACGAGGAGGTCATACGAGGTCTCGAGGACATGGCAGGAGACTGACAACTTTGGTGAGAGCAGTTGTCAGACCCGAAGGCTGAGCTGAAGGAGCTGAAGAAGGTAGGAAGCGAACGCCACAGTCTTCCCTGACTCCTGCTGGTGTTCAGCTGGACTACTTGCGCGGTAGCTCGAGACGCTTCAAGGGGCGCGAGGACGATGGGAAAGAGATCGACAGGTGGCAGGCAGCCTGCTCAGCATCGCTTGTAACATGCGAGACGCTGCAGGACTGAACAAGAAGAAATCTCGACTCTAACTCCCCCCTCATCGTCCCTGTAAGGACAACTCCTGCCCCCCTTCACGCAAGCACTGACATGCTTGCCGTAGGTTCTGGGAGTGGGAGCCTTCGCTGTGAGTGCTCGTTGCGTCTCAAGCTCTCCCTGACATCGCTCTACCTTGTGGCTTCTTGTTTGTTCTCTCGATGTCGTCAGGCACTACCATGACCTCGGGCCGGATGGAAAGCCAGTGAGACCTCTGCTCCTGCTCCTGCTCCTGCTCCTGCTCCTGCTCCTGCTCCTCCTGCTCCTCCTGCTCCTCTTTCCTGCCCCTCCCTTTCTCTACTTCTCTTCTATTCCCCTCTTGCCCCTCTACCAATCCCGAGGTCTCTCCTGTTTCCCATCCTCCCCCCCCTCTCTGTCGCCACATCTTTCTCATCGTTGCTTCCCAGGTCAAGACAAGGACAAGAGTCGTCGAAAGGAGAAGCAGCAAGGTAGGACAACGAAGGAGGATTGACCTCCCTGTCTTGACAAGACCCGCAGCCTGCTCCTACCAGAGGCCGCAGGCCGCAGCCGATTGCACGGAAGAGAAAGGAGCAGGTGAATCTTCACTTTGTAGAGCTGAGGGATGGACTGACTTCCTTTCTTCGCAGCCCACCGTGACCCATCGGGTTGCGCTTGTTGGCGGTTGGCGGGGCTGTTGGCTGAGTGAGTGTGCTCAGGTGAAGTCGAACGCCTGCTTCTTCTGCAGGGACGCAGAGAAATACTTGAAGGACAGCGCTCGACCGGACAGTCGGGGCAGGTGGGGGAGGACGAGGCGGAGGAGCGAGGGGGAGAAGAAAAGGGAGGGGGAAGGAAAGAGGAAAGGGGAGGGAGCAAGAGAGAGGGAGGAGCGAAGAGGGAGGAGCAAGCAAAGAGCGAAGAGGAGGGAGGGAGGAAGGGGAGGGGCGAAGGAGAGAGCTCGCAGCGGGGAGTGCGGGGCAGGGCAGGATTCCTCAGACCTTGGGTGTGACTCGTGGGCTGCAGCAAAGACGCTGACCCGAGCTCTGAGCTTCCCTTCTTCTCGTCGGACTGGAAGGATGCGCAGGAGGGAGCAGATTTCGTCAAGTCGTTCCCCAACACGAAAGACCTGTATCCCCAGCTGATGGCAAGTTTGCGCCTCGCTGACCCTGCCCTGCTGCAGGAGAGTGCTGGACTGGTTGGGAGCTGAGGCTGATGAGGAGAGCCCGTACGACGGAACGAAAGACAGTGAGGCAGAGAGGAGAGGGCATGCGGGAAGCGAGGAGCCGAGGCAACGAGTGGTCAGGGGCGGCGGAGTAGTTAGTGAGGAGGAGGGGAAGCAGACTGAGAAGGAAGAAACGAAGGGGGGTTGACCGGCAGGAATGGAACAGAGGAAGATTATGGGGATGATGAGGAGGAAGGGAGGGAGGGAGGGAGGAGGAGGAGGAGGAGGAGGAGGAGGAGGAGAGGTGCTGGTGGTAATGCGCGAGTGGCAGGCATGAGCGCTACCGGCGCTATCTCGTCGATCCCCTCCGGCTACTTTGACTTCCCTAAGGCCTCGGGGTACTACACGCACTATGGCGGGTGGTAGGACAAGGGGGGTGCAGACCTCCAGTGAGGGAGCAGCCCCCAGCAGACGACCGCGCAGCCCCCAGCTGGAAGTGGAGGAGCTGAGAAAGGCTAATTGGACACCTTCAGATACAGAACTCAATCCCCTCCTCATCCTGCGATGCCGATGGGGCCTTGAAGTGCGACCCGTTCCTGCTGGGCTGGTCAGGAGGGGGAGAGCTGGGGGAAGTCAGGGAACCTGCCGGTACCAGCTGAGGAGACGCTCTGGGGCTTTTGAATCCTCGAGTGGGCGCGCTGATGAGGAGGATCAGCCGGTACAAGCGAAGGAGTGGAGAGGGTGGGGAAGGGCAGAGGAGAGGAGAATGAAAGGGATAGTAGAGGAATAGAGGAGAAGAGAAGAGAAAAGAGAGGAGGGAGGAGGCAGGGAAAGGCGTATGGGAAAAAGAAAGTGAACCGGAAGCCTGGCGCTTCTGCCGAGCTGGGAAGGGTCGAACGTGGAGCTTGAGGCGGAGGATAGGTGACCTTCGAACGAAACTCTGCAGGGGGCATAAGCATGACGACAGTTGGCAGCTGAACTTGTTCTGTGCACTATGAATACTTTTGACTTCCTCCTGCTCCTTGCTCTCTTCCTCCCCTCCGCTCTCCCCTCCAGCACTATCTTCCCTCCTCCCTCCTCCCTCCTCCCTCCTCCCTCCTCCCTCCTCCCTCCTCCCTCTTCCTCTGCTCTCCGAACTCAGGGCTCGTTCCTCACCTTCTCCCTCGCTCTTCGCTCGTTCGTGACAGCGGCGGCGTCTCTGCCCTCCTCGGCATCCCCGGCGCACCATCATCCACCTGCATGCCATCAGAGCCCAGCAGGAGGTGAGCTGAAGTACCCCTCCGTTCCCGTGCTCGAATGTGTTGGCCGAACGTAGGGAGGTAGCATCGTTCCAGTCTGGCTCGCCGCTCACGTGCTGCGCTCTGGAGTCAACCTTCTCCCTCCCAGCTCACGGGCCTTACCGAAGCTGAACCTCCCGTCCTGACAGAGTTGGCCTTCTGCTCTCGGAGGTGGGTGGAGGAGGAATAGGAGGAGGAGGAGGAGGAGGAGGAGGAGGAGGAGGTTGAGGAGGAAGAGGGAAGAATGAGAGGAGGAGGTGGTGGGGCCGGAGATCAGAGCCGCGGGAAAGAGGAAGGACACAAGAAAGGATGGGAAAGGGAGGAGGGAGAGGAAGGAGGAGGGATAAAGGGCGGAGGGAGAGGAAGGAGAAGAGAAGGAGAAGGAAAGGAGTCAATGAAGATTCTGGACATGTTCTCTTCCCTCCCTACCGTTATCGCGTGGTCGAGCTCTGAGGTCACCCAGCTCTCGACCTTCTTGCTCTCCTTCATCTGACCAATTGTGACCCTTCTCCTCCTCCTCCT